ATACCTTCGCTCCCTTCCCGCCCTTCTCTCCCTTCAATACCTTCGCTCCCTTCCCGCCCTTCTCTCCCTTCAATACCTTCGCTCCCTTCCCGCCCTTCTCCTCCCCCCCACCGTATCTCCGTTACCTTCCATTTCATCCCTACCCTTCCTCGTCTCTCCCTCCCGACATCTCTCCTGCTTCTCCTTTCACTCCCTTTCATCCCTTGCCTCCCTTGACTACCTTCCCTCCCTTCTCTCCCTTCGATAGAAGTCTCTCCGCACTCCTCCAGCCATTCTCTCCTCACTGCCATCCTTCCCTTCCGCTAAACCTGTAACCAAGCCCCTTTCGATTCTCTTGTTGTCACCTCCCAACCAACAGCGGCATTGCCATGGGAAATTTCAACATGCATCTCCCACCTACCCCCACCTACTCACATCGTTGCTCCCCTCCCCCTACCACATACAACATACTCCCATCTGACCTCCCCTTCCCCTACCACCTACTCCCTTCTCATCTCCCCTCCCCTACCACCTCTCCTGGCCCTATCAGGCACTCTTTGCTCACCTCCCATCCCCCTACCAGGGGCATTCTTCTCACCTCCCCTCTCCTACCTCTTCTTACCCCCTCCTCTACCAAGGGCGCTCTGCTCACACCCTGCCCCTCCAGGTCCCCCACACTTATGTGTTTCTTTCTTAGTTGAATCTGACCTCCTACAGCCCTCACATTGTATTCCCTTGCTCGATTTCTGTGCTTGTGTTGCAGGTGGGGTGCTTTCCTGACTGCACATCCTACGCCTCACAGGGCACATAACAGCCTGCAACCTGGGCTTGGATAGGCTGCGATTGCAATGGGAATGGCAGGGGAGCATGGCAACGGCTACGAGCAAAGCAGCTTCAAGCCTCTCGGTCAATCGGCCTGTCCTTATACGATCCAAGTATTCAATCTTCCGCCTTGAACATTAGCACATAAACACACCCTCTTTTCCCCTTTTAGGTATTTCTTACTGACCCAACACATCGTGCCATCAAACTCATGTTTGTGTTTTTACCAACTGGTTATTGAACGTAGTGCTTTGTGACATCATTACAGGTTGCTGACTTCAACACTTTTTGTAACATGTTCCCTACCATAACACAGTATGTAAACAAAGCAGTGGTCACGAGTAAAAGCAGAGAGGCAATCCATGCATACTAGTAACTAAGCAAAGAGTGCACGCAGCAGGTCGCCTTTCCTGGACACAGCGCCACAAAACCTGAGGGTATGGTGGCAAGGAGGGATGGGGAGAGAAAGGATGCTGAGAGGATAGATGGAGTGTGGAGGGATGCAGAGAGGAAAGGATGGGGTGAGGGATGAGGAGAAGAAAGGATGGGGTGAGGGATGAGGAGAAGAAAGGATGGGGTGAGGAGGGATGAGGAGAAGAAAGGATGGGGTGAGGGATGAGGAGAAGAAAGGATGGGGTGAGGGATGAGGAGAAGAAAGGATGGGGTGAGGAGGGATGAGGAGAAGAAAGGATGGGGTGAGGGATGAGGAGAAGAAAGGATGGGGTGAGGGATGAGGAGAAGAAAGGATGGGGTGAGGGATGAGGAGAAGAAAGGATGGGGTGAGGAGGGATGAGGAGAAGAAAGGATGGGGTGAGGGATGAGAAGAAAGGATGGGGTGAGGGATGAGGAGAAGAAAGGATGGGGTGAGGAGGGATGAGGAGAAGAAAGGATGGGGTGAGGGATGAGGAGAAGAAAGGATGGGGTGAGGAGGGATGAGGAGAAGAAAGGATGGGGTGAGGGATGAGGAGAAGAAAGGATGGGGTGAGGGATGAGGAGAAGAAAGGATGGGGTGAGGAGGGATGAGGAGAAGAAAGGATGGGGTGAGGAGGGATGAGGAGAAGAAAGGATGGGGTGAGGAGGGATGAGGAGAAGAAAGGATGGGGTGAGGAGGGATGAGGAGAAGAAAGGATGGGGTGAGGAGGGATGAGGAGAAGAAAGGATGGGGTGAGGAGGGATGAGGAGAAGAAAGGATGGGGTGAGGGATGAGGAGAAGAAAGGATGGGGTGAGGAGGATGAGGAGAAGAAAGGATGGGGTGAGAAGGGATGCGGAGAGGAAAGGCTGGGGTGAGAAGGGATGCAGAGAGGAAATGAGGGGGTGAGAAGGGATGCGGAGAGGGCATTACTGGGAAACGTGGGTGGTAGTACGATACTGGAGGTGGAAAGTGGAAACAGTAGGTAGGGGGAGGGAAGGAGGGTAAGCAAGGGAAGGGAGAGAAAGGAGGGGATGCAGTGGTGGAAACGGGGGGAAGGAGGGGAAGCAGTGGGGGAAAGGAGAGGAAGCAGTGGGGGAAACGGGGGGAAGGAGGGGAGAGGAAAGGAGGGGAATCAGCGGGGGAAAGCAGGGGAAGCACGGGGGGGAAAGGCGAGGCAGAGAAGTGGAGGAAAGGAGGGGAAGCAGGGGCAGAAATGAGGGGAAGCAGGGGCGGAAATGAGGGGATGCGTGGGGGGAAAGGAGGGGAAGCAGGGGCGGAAATGAGGGGAAGCAGGGGCGGAAATGAGAGGATGCATGGGGGGAAAGGAGGGGAAGCAGGGGCGGAAATGAGGGGAAGCAGGGGCGGAAATGAGGGGAAGCAGGGGCGGAAATGAGGGGATGCGTGGGGGGAAAGGAGGGGAAGCAGGGGCGGAAATGAGGGGAAGCAGGGGCGGAAATGAGGGGATGCGTGGGGGGAAAGGAGGGGAAGCAGGGGCGGAAATGAGGGGAAGCAGGGGCGGAAATGAGGGGAAGCAGGGGCGGAAATGAGTCCAAACGTGTGGACGCATTTCGTGTATTGGAGAAATCCGTGAGGCGAGCAGCGCGTTACTGGTGGCTGCAGTAGGATGGCTGGCTCGCGCGCGCTTCTAGACTGAATTTCGCTGGAGAGCGCGTGCTTGCAACCGCGTGCTGTTTGCTGGGGCATCTAAGCGTCACATGCGCTCGCTGTGCTGGCGCGCCGCGCGGTATGCAGGTGCCGCTTTGCGGCGCGCGTTTTGCTGGCAAGCGCAGCTCTGCTGAGCGCGCTATGCTAGCGCGCGCGGAATGCCAGCATAGCGCGCACAAGTGCCGCGCGCGGATGCCAGCACAGCGCGCGCAAGTGTTGCGCGCGGAATGATAGCGTAACTGGCGCAAGTCCCGCTAACGGAATGCTATCATTGCTGGCGCCAGTGACGCGCGCGGAATGACACGACACACACGGAGTGCCACCATCGCTGGCGCTAGTGACGCTCGCAGGCGTCGCCTGTTCTGCACACGGCTAAATACTCACCCGCGTCTATGTATGTGGTCGCGCTGCTGGCCTAGCACCCTCCGGCCTGCTGCCTAGTACCTAAACTAGTAGCTACTAGATGCGTATTCCCCGTAGTGTGTGATGTGGCAAGTTCGGTGACGGGAGGTGTTTCCCATTTTGTGACCCACAACCTACCCAACCCTGCTCCTCTTACAACGGAAGCGCTCCAGTTTTTCGCCAACACTCTCGCTATTCTGTTTACATTTTCGTTGAGGCGAAATCGCCTGGCACACTGTACAGAAACAACAGTGCTGCCAAATGTATACTGCTGCTTTAAGGGGGGTTTTTTATGTTTGAAATGGACAAAGCATGTCTTCAGGTATCTATTCAATGCCGTTTCAGTGTTTTTTTTTTGCATGGATGGCCATACAAATGCCTGAATTGTGGAGCTCAAAATGGTCATTTTAAGGGGGTTTTATGGACTTTTTGTTGGTTTTAAATGGTTTTTTTTGGGGATTCTGTCTCCTCTAGTACTGCTCTACTTGTTTTTTTTTTTTTTTTTTGAAAGTTTGCAAATGTTGCACTTTTTGGTTCATATTAGCCAACTCAAGTATGTCTGTAGTACATGCTAGGTCATTCTTTGGCAATCATCAAGTCAACATTGTTTTTTCTTATTTGTTATTTCATGGCATTCAATGCAATGTTAGGCTTTGAATGCCCTGCCCATCACACATGCCATGTCAAACCAACGATGATGTGTGAGAAAATGGGGAAAACGTATGATGATTTGCTAGGGTGTTTTCAACGTCTATTTGCTGTGTTTCTTTATGATGACTTAGATGTTTTCCACCCCCAACAAACGTTAACATGGTGTCCTAGTGCTTCCATGGGTTTGAACCTTTGGGTTTTGGTCAATTAGATGATTTTTACATCGATTACAAGTACGGTCGGTTTGTGGAAGGTAGCATATATATTTGATTGTGGTTTTCAATGTTTTGTTGTTTTGGAATCGTGTGCCTTACACCTGGATTGCCTCCTTGCATTGTGCTTTGTGGTGTGGGGTTTGGGGAAATGGTATGTGTTTAGTTTGGCCTGCTTGCAATCTTGGTTGTTTAAAGTTAACACATTATTGTGCTAGGTGTAGTTTGTAGTAGCGCATTGAATGGGGTGGTCATTTTCGAGAGTGGAGGTAAGATTCGCGTGACTTCCCCGAAATGGAACTGCTTGTTCGGCGCATACGAGGTACATTTTCGACGAGCCCGATGCAGCGAAATTAGTAGCCCAATTTCGAGTTGAATAATAGCGATCGGGCGACTGAATTTGGGCAAATTTCGAAATCGACCGTCCTTGCATGGACTCGAATTCGAAATCACTGACCTCCACGTGGCGGCTCAGGATAACTCTCGAAATTGGCATGGGGGAGATGGTTATTGGTCGGATTCTGTCGTTGTCAGATTTTCAGAGTGCAGCACAAGATTGAGATTGTCCCGATTCGAGGGCTTTAGATCGCGGGTCAGTATGGGTTTCATGGCCTGGGGTGGCACTGCCATTGATAAATGCAACTTTTTTTGTCGCCACAACCATACAGGGTCGAATGTTTGAACACGACCTCAAAGTCCAGGCTCAGGATGGTGTTGGGCGGGTATAAATGCCCAACGGAGGTCATTTTCTCATTTTACATCTTCTCCTTCAGTTTTTGTCCAACTTCTTCCTTAGATCCCAGCCTCCCAGCTTCCACCACTTCGTCAATGGAGCCTTCGATGGAAGTAGAGGCTGCTGGCTTGCGTGTGCGCCTCTCTCGTTTAGAGTTCGAGAACATGCGATTCAAGCGTGGGGAATGGACCGAGAACATGCTCAACTTTGCTATGGTGTAAGATGCCCTTGTAGTTTTGTTTCTCGGATAGATGTGTGACGTTTCGAGATTTACGTTCTCTGTCACGTGTAGAGTACTAGTAGCGATCTAGCAAATAACGCTCTCGCCGCTCTAACGTTTAAACCATCTTCCGAGTACTAGTCTCCTCTATTCTACTGCCCAAAGTAAGCGATCTCTATTTCGAGAGATATTTCCGCGAAGACGGATGTGTTGTGTAGCGCTGGTCTGATCTCTGAAAGCTCCTTGTGTTGTCTCTTGCAGGAAGATTGCAAAGGAGAGGCTGACCGCGGACCAGCTATCGAAAGTCGAAATCATCCCCATGAGTGCAGTCAACGCGGCCCGGGCGAAACAACCGTACGAACCCATGGGTCCTGGCAGACTCGATGGTGTGCTTGGCAAGCAACTCGTAGTCTTTCCGCTGTGGTCAAGGTGAGTTCGAATTGTAGAGGTTCCGGTATCAATCTTTATTTCTCTGAAAATACAACGGCTGTTCGATTTTCCGAGCTTTTACGCGCTTGCTAACCTTTCCCCCCACCGCCCCATGCAGCATGACTGCTGAGCCTGGAGCGCGCTGTAGCCTTTTCATGCTTGTTCGGCCCGACAATTTGGCCGACCACCCGAATATTCCGGTTGCGACACGTCTTCTGCATTTCGACCCCAAGTCGAATTCTCCAGCACACAAGCACACCGACCTCGCCCTTCAAATGGTCAAGTAAGGTTTAACTTTTGTCGCTCGTCACATGTGCAAATGACGGTACGGCAGAGCATAGCCTAATTTTGTCGGAAATTCACATGCCGAGCAGATGGCTGGAGGTGCAGCTCTTGACGGAATATTCTAGAGGAGAAGCACTCACTCCAAACTCGGAGGAGCAGGAAACTTTCCGCGACATCAGGAGACGGATTATGAGCGGGTGGAGGCTCGACATAGCGGGAGTAAGTTTGCAATGCAAACTCGGAATTCAGCTCGGACCTCTAAGCAGGACAAGCCCTGACCAGCTCCCTTTCATTTTCATGCAGAAGCTAACTCCAATGGTCAGCTCGAGGGAGGTCGGGAGCGGTTCTTATGTAGCGTACCAGTGGCGTAAGGTGCTCGATCATTTTGACTCGATTCTCTTACAGCATGATCGAGATGATAAATTTAGGGTTCTTGGAAAACCACCCTACCGGCGAGAGGATATATTCAAGGACATAGTGACCAGCTGCAAAAAGTATTTCGACAAGCTGGCGGCAGGTGATGAGGAGGATGCGGGAGAGGTGGACCTGGAACCCGTTGGGGACGCTGCTGAGGACACGGGTGCCCCGCCCGTTATTGACGCCGAAATAGTCGCGTTGGGGGCAATGGTTGCTGACGGCGCACGAATGGGTCTGGCCAACGAGCGTCAGAGCGTAACGGATGGGGAGGGTCAGATGATGGACAAAGAGGAACCACCTTTTCAGAGGAGTGCACGCGAGATCTTGCGTGGAATGAGGGAGGCGCAGCAGAGGGCACCAGAGGATAAGACTGAGCGTTGCGGGTCGGAGACCCAACAACAGAGGGGGGAGGGGGAGAGGATGGAGGAGTTAGCAATTGGTTTAGAGGCAGTGCACCTCTCGGTTGAGAATGATGAACAGGAGGAGGAACAGGGGCAGGGTATGGACATGAGGCAGGGCAGTCCGAATGTCGTAGGCAAATCGGAGGATGAGGTCCTGAGAGCGGAACGCGATAATAGGGTGGTGTATCAGAGGCGGGAGACAAGAACAAAGAAGAAGTATGATCAGGAGCGGGAAGCACGCGAGGAGGAAGAGGCGAAGCGGAGGGTGGAACAGAAGCGTGTGAGGCTCGAGGACCAGGAGCGAGAGGTGAGTGCGATGGAGGGGGACAGGGAGAGTGAGGAACGCGAACGCAAGAGGGAGGAAGAGCGGAAGAGGGAGGAGGCGAGGAAGGTGTGGCGTGAAAAGGAAGAGAAGCGGCAGAGGGAGGAGGAAGAGCGGAAGAGGGAGGAGGAAAGGCAGGCTGAGCGCAAAAAGGAGGAGAAGCGGCAGAAGGATGAAGAGCGGAAGAGGGAGGAGGAAAGGCAGGCAGAGCGCGAACAAGAGGAGAAGCGGCAGAGGGAGGAGGAAGAGCGCAAAAAGGAGGAAAGGCAGGCTGAGCGCGAACAGGAGGAGAGGCGGCAGAGGGAGGAGGAAGAGCGGAAGAGGGAGGAGGAGAAAAAGGCTGAGCGCGAAAAGGAGTCGAAGCGGCAGAAGGATGAGGTGGAGCGGAAGAGGGAGGAGGCGAGGAAGGCGGAACGCGAAAAGGAGGAGAAGCGGCAGAAGGAGGAGGAGGAGGTGAAGAGGGAGGAGGCGCGGAAGGCCGAACGAGAAAAGGAACATAACCGGCAGAAGGAGGAGGAGGAGAGAGGAAGAGGGAGGAGGCGAGGAAGGCGGAACGCGAAAAGGAGGAGAAGCGGCAGAAGGAGGAGGAGGAGCGGAAGAGGGAGGAGGCGAGGAAGGCGGAACGTGGAAAGGAGCAGAAGCGGCAGGAGGAGGAGGAACGGAAGAGGGAGGAGGCAAGAAAGGCAGAACGCGAAAAGGAAGATAAGCGGTAGAAGGAGGAGGAGCGGAAGAGGGAGGAGGCGAGACAGGTAGAACGCGAAAAGGAGGAGCAGCGGCAGGATGAGGAGGAGCGGAAGAGGGAGGAGGCGAGGAAGGCGGAACGCGAAAAGGAGGAGAAGCGGCAGAAGGAGGAGGAGGAGCGGAAGAGGGAGGAGGCGAGGAAGGCGGAACGCGAAAAGGAGCAGAAGAGGCAGGAGGAGGAGGAGGAGCAGAAGAGGGAGGAGGCTAGGAAGGCGGAACGCGAAAAGGAGGAGAAGCGGCAGAAGGAGGAGGAGGAGCGGAAGAGGGAGGAGGCGAGGAAGGCGGAACGAGAAATGGAGCAGAAGAGGCAGGAGGAGGAGGAGGAGCAGAAGAGGGAGGAGGCTAGGAAGGCGGAACGCGAAAAGGAGGAGAAGCGGCAGAAGGAGGAGGAGGAGCGGAAGAGGGAGGAGGCGAGGAAGGCGGAACGCGAAAAGGAGGAGAAGCGGCAGAAGGAGGAGGAGGAGCGGAAGAGGGAGGAGGCGAGGAAGGCGGAACGCGAAAAGGAGCAGAAGAGGCAGGAGGAGGAGGAGGAGCAGAAGAGGGAGGAGGCTAGGAAGGCGGAACGCGAAAAAGAGGAGAAGCGGCAGAAGGATGAGGAGGAGCGGAAGACGGAGGAGGCGAGGAAGGCTGAACGCGAAAAGGAGCAGAAGCGGCAGGAGGATGAGGAGGAGCGGAAGAGGGAGGAGGCGAGGAAGGCGGAACGCGAAAAGGAGTAGAAGAGGCAGGAGGAGGAGCGGAAGAGGGAGGAGGCGAGGAAGGCGGAACGCGAAAAGGAGGAGAAGCGGCAGAAGGAGGAGGAGGAGCGGAAGAGGGAGGAGGCGAGGAAGGCGGAACGCGAAAAGGAGGAGAAGCGGAAGAGGGATGAGGAGGAGCGGAAGAGGGAGGAGGCGAGGAAGGCGGAACGCGAAAAGGCGGGGAAGATTGTGGAGGCCAACGAGCGAGAAACGCGCGAGGAGGCGAGGGTGGAGGAGCGAGAGCGACAGAGGCAGGTCGGTGAGACCGGGGAACGAGAATCGCGTGAAAGGGAGGAAGCGCGGCAGAGGCAGGATCGGGAACGAAAGAGAACTGAAAGCGAACGCAGAAGAAAAGAGCTTCAGAGGCTCGAGCGCGAAAGGTTTGTGGCGAGGCAGACGGAGCAAGCGGGTGTGCATCAGGGTGTGGAGCGTCCGAGGGATCGACCTGTAGAGAACGAGCGCCGTGGGATGGGGGGCGCTACACAGAGGCAGGAAAGGCAGAGGGAGGTTGCTGGGTTGAATGAGCAAGGTGCTGGGGGGCAGCGGCGTGTGGCTGAGGGCCAGAGGGGCGCGAGGTTCTTCCCAAAGCAGTTGGGGCGGGATGTAGGGGATGGAGCTCAGCAAGTGGTGGTTGGCGACCAGCCAACCCTGGGGCATCACGGAACAACTGTTGGTCGGGCAGCGGATGTTGGTTTACCGGGATTGAGAACAGGCGGACCGAGGCCGATGATGCAGCGGGAAGGTGGCCGGCGTGATGATCAAACAGCCCGGAACAGGGTCGGCGCGGGAGACCATAGGAGGTTCGATCAGTCAAGGCAAGCTGGTAGGCGAGAGGGTGAAGCGATTGGAACGCGGCAGGGTGAGCGAATGGCGGAGGATCAGGTCTGGCGTGGGGTGGGATGGGGAATGGAAGGAGTGCGACACAGGGAGTTTCAGCAGAGAGAGGCGGGAGGACGTGCGGACGAGGAACTAGAGAGTGCGGCTAGTGCGCTCCCCATGCAGAGGCTGCATCCACGAGCGGCAGAGAATCCTGCTGCGGTGCAGGGAGAGGAACTAGAGGATGGTGAATGGGTGGCTGTGGAGGCGCTACTGGCGGGACTGGAGCAAGCGGGGCCGCAGGTTTTCGAGGAGACGGAGCGAGGATTTGAGGAGGCTGGCGACCGCATCGCAGCTGGCGGCAGGATGCATACCACAGCAGAGTTGATGCGGCGTCTGACCTTGGTGGCAAGGTCCGTGGCGAGGGCTTCGTCGGAGCAACGTGTTCGTTTCATCGACTGCATGGCAGAGATTCGAGAATTTGGTACGCAGATGCAAGCCTTGGACAGCCGCTACTTCCAGGACTACGATGATCTAACACACGAGAACCACGAGATCAAGGCCGGGGTGGTCCGGGAACGCGACGAGCTAACCCAATTGCGTACTGCTCTTTCGGCTTCTGTCGCCGAAGCACGAGCGGCAGCAGCTGATGCGGGTCGCGCAGCTGCAGCAGCGGCTGTGGAAGCATTGGAGGAAAGGTTACAGGGGTTTTTCGAGAACTTACGGGAGAAGCTGAAGAGTGTGGTGGAGCAGGTGATAGAGCAATCGTCGCTAGAGGCCTCGTTCACATCCACCTCCATGGAACACCTGCAAGCGGCTATTGACAATAGTGTACTCGCAGTGTGGGAGGATCTCAGGGCTGCGGACGACCAAAACAATCTGACTTTCAACAAGATTCAGAAGGCTCTGGCAGGACTGTCAACAAAGCTCAAAGGGCTGACTGGACCCAGCAAGGTCCGAAAGCCACCCACCGCCAGGGGAGAGGCCACACCAAAGGCTCCGCGAAAGCAGCCCGAAGCAGATTCCCCAGACATCCCAATCTCCTCAGCACAACGAGTCATTGAAAGGTTTGCCGCAACGTCCGAGGGTGAGGAGGGTGACGCTGGTGAGGCGGGTGAGACGGGCGCTGGTGTGGCAGATATTGACTTGTCTGAACCAGTGAGGAGAAACTGGAGAGAGACGTACGCAGCAAAGAACGTGCAGAAAGAGAGGGAGAAGGAGAGCGAAGAGAGGAGGACGGCTGAAGCGCGGAAGCGGCAAGCACTTCAGACGGCGCAAGTGACGGCTGCAAAGAAGAGGCGGGCTGAGAAGGGGTTGGGAAATACGAGGGTGGAGGACCGTCCTGGGACTGTCAGCAGGGGGAGAGTGACGGAAAACCAACCGGCGGGTACAGCTGCAGAGGCAAGGAAGGCAGAACGCGAAAAGGAGCAGAAGCGGCAGGAGGAGGAGCGGAAGAGGGAGGAGGCAAGGAAGGTAGAACGCGAAAAGGAGCAGAAGAGGCGAAAGGATGAGGAGGAGCGGAAGAGGGAGGAGGCAAGGAAAGCGGAACGCGAAAAGGAGTTGAAGCGGCAGAAGGATGAGGAGGCGCGAAAGAGGGAGGAGGCGCGGAAGGCAGAACTCGAAAGGGAGCAGAAGCGGCAGGAGGAGGAGGAGCGGAAGAGGGAGGAGGCGAGGAAGGCGGAACGCGAAAAGGAGGAGAAGCGGCAGAAGGAGGAGGAGGAGCGGAAGAGGGAGGAGGCAAGGAAGGCAGAACGCAAAAAGGAGGAGAAGCGGCAGAAGGAGGAGGAGGAGGAGCGGAAGAGGGAGGAGGCGAGGAAGGCGGAACGCGAAAAGGAGGAGAAGCGGCAGAAGGAGGAGCGAAAGAGGGAGGAGGCGAGGAAGGCGGAACGCGAAAAGGAGGAGAAGCGGCAGAAGGAGGAGGAGGAGCGGAAGAGGGAGGAGACGAGAAAGGCGGAACGCGAAAAGGAGGAGAAGCGGCAGAAGGAGGAGGAGGAGCGGAAGAGGGAGGAGGCAAGGAAGGCGGAACGCGAAAAGGAGGAGAAGCGGCAGAAGGAGGAGGAGGAGCGGAAGAGGGAGGAGGCGAGGAAGGCGGAACGCGAAAAGGAGGAGAAGCGGCAGAAGGAGGAGGAGGAGCGGAAGAGGGAGGAGGCGAGGAAGGCGGAACGCGAAAAGGAGGAGAAGCGGCAGAAGGAGGAGGAGGAGCGGAAGAGGGAGGAGGCGAGGAAGGCGGAACGCGAAAAGGAGGAGAAGCGGCAGAAGGAGGAGGAGGCAAAGGCGATGGAAAGGAGGCGGGCACAGAGGGAGGCGGAGTTAGAAGCTAAGCGCCAGCAGATTGCTAAGATTGCGGAAACAAAGCGGTTGGAGGCAGCAAAGCGAAAAAGAGACCTCGAAATAGAGCGTCGGAAAGCCCTGGAGGAGATCGAGCGTATTGCACGGTTAGAGGAAGCCGCAAAGGAGGAAGAGGAGAGGCAACAAATGGAGTTAGAGGCGGAAACAGAGAAAATGGAAAACGAGAGGCGACGGATTGCGGGGGAGGATGAGGAAGGGGCAGCGGGGCAACGGCAGGGAGGAGAGGCGGAAGAAGGGTGGGCCGGGATTCTTCAAGTGATTTCATTGGTTCCCGATGAACCGCTGCAAGTAGTTGACCTCGTGGGGGAGGTGGAGGGTTCGGAACATGTGACAGGCTCTGGAGGTCTAGAGACTCAACCGCCTTTGAAGAGGCTTCGCATTGACCAGACCGGAACGAACTTCGACGCGGATGAGGGGTCTTTGGGGGCTGCTGCGTTAGAGGAATGTGTCGGTGAAAATGTGTCGGGAAATCAGAACGTTCAACCAACGTTGGGGGAGGCGACGGGAGAGGTGGCACCGCGAAGAGCGGATGTGCTACCAGACGAGCTAGGGAAGCGGTGGGGGGAAACAAAGCATTTCAGATCGAGTGGTCTTACCACACGCGAGAAGAACAAAAAGGGGGAAGTGGTGTACGTGCGCTACAACTCGGAGCAAAGCGTCGGAGGTGTGAAGAGGAACATGGGGAGCTACAAGGAGCGGAAACTACGCGATTTCACAGTGGCCGTCTGTTGGATGGCCTACTTCCCCGACACCGACATGGCCCATTACGGCTTGGATCCTGCCGAGCTTGGCTTGTGGGCGGTCCACCTCGATTTCGCTCGTGAACTCCCGACGGTGTCTGGAGTGTCATGAACGAATTGAACCTCGACAAGTTCGAGAAGTAAGTACTCGATTCGGATTAGCTAGATCTAGTACACTTTCCCGTTTTGCCTTACTAACCGTGTACCCACCTCGCCTGTGCAGCTTCGAAAACGTCATGAACAAGACAAATGCACGGGTGAAGGACGGCTCACATTTCCAGGTGGCCGTTTGCACAGGGATTGGACAGGCCCTGGTACACGGAGGGAGTGGGCTGGTGTCGCCCCCCGCGAATGTCACTCCCGCGGTCTATGCAGCGGGAGTAGCTGCAACCCTCTACACCTTGTGGTGTGCCTCGATCGGCATTCCCCACCAGGACTGGGCGGAGGGTGCGGATGAGGCGGCTCGTGGCACGCTCAACGAGGCAAGCCTTGCTAGTCGAGCAACCTCTACTGCTCGCCTCGGAGTGTGGACCTTGAAGGCCGTGAAGAACCTAACGCACGAGAAGGCGGATTGGGAAGTGGTGCTCACCAAGGCCATTCTCGGCCTTGTGGATCCCGAGCCCGGGGAGGCAGAGGCTATTGAAATGGCCAAGGTGGTTTCGAGGGTGCTGGTGTACTGGTGCGAGTGCTGTCACGCAAACCAGAGTCTTTACGCGTATCAGGGTGGGATGCTCCATTTTCCCCAGCCCACAAAAGGGGGACGGCGGAAGGGGAATGCGGGAGGCAACGAGTGATGCAGGATGGGGAGGGTAATTTCGAGTTTGCAGCAGCTCTGTACTATAGTCTGCTGAATGTTGTAGTTTTTGAGTTTTCATTGATTTGAACTTAAATCTGTTACATGCATTGTTTGACTCGAAAGCATGGCGTGAATAAGGACTTGAATGCTGTAGGGTTAGATCTCTGAACCACGGTGTTTCCTTAATTGCTTTTGAGGCTTTGTTTTCAAGTAACTAGCGTACTTAGGATTTCGATCGTGAACTTAACGCGTGACGAGAGTGCAACCCTCTTGCTTCGGATTAGTCTGTGGCATGCTTTGATATTCGACACATTCCCATGTTTTCGAGACATTCCCATGCTTAACATTGACGTTCCAATGACTAGTGTTACTCTAAAGGAGGATTTAGAATCTAGAACAGAAGAGAGGGAGGGCATCAAAGTTCCCTCTGGCGGCGCAGTGATTTCTTTTTGCATGCCATCATAGTTTGTTGCTAACCCTGATTTTCGAGAGATTCCTACGTTCCATTGATTATTGTGGCAGGTAACCATGTACTCCAAAGGGAGCCTGCTCATTCGAGTTTTGTTCGCGTATTTTTTCTATGCCGTCGCAGCACTGTTAACGACACCTGTTTTCGAGCACAATCCTCTTGGTACGATAGGCGAAGGTTACGATGTACGGTGGGTGTAAATTTTGTAGTGGAACTACATACGATCCAACAATGATGTAACTCTAAAAGAGGTTTTAGATCAGAGGAAACTAAAAATAAGAAAAAGAGGGGTCAAAGTCAAGAGCAGAGCAGAAATGAGGTCCAAGATGAGGGAAGCGATCACGGAAGGAAGTCTCGGTAGCGTAAACTACTTCTTCAGTTTAGCCAGCTTCAACGGCTCCTCGATCTTGATCTTCTTCCAAACATCTTTCCCAAACATCTTCTCTCCCCACCCGTCACCCACCATCTGGGCGGCGAAGAGGAGGTACCCGACCTTGCGGCGCTTGTTCTCCGTCGTCTTATCCTTGGCTCGTTTCCGAGAATCACCCCATCCGCCAGTGCGCTAATCGAACTCCGACCCACCACGTCCTTCTCGATCTTCGCAATGGCATCTCGGGTGGCCTCCTCCGTTTCGTTAGCCCTGTATTTCTCGACCGCGAGCATCACGTTCCTCATGCGCTTCATTTTTTTGTCGCCAGCATCGTCCTTCACACCCTTCTCAATGTACGAGAAAGTGGGGTAGAAACTTTTTTCTGACGACAGCTGGCGGAGAGTCTTCCCTTCCATCAAAAAGGTCACCTTCACCCAGTGCTCCCATGCCTTTGCGACCGACTCCGAGTCCCGCCAGGGTTTAACGACAAGGTCGAAAAATGCCCGCACTGGAGTGCTGGCTTGTGCCTTCCCAGGCTTCGGAGCCTCCCCACCAGCTTCCTCCTTTGCCGACGAGCCCGACCCTCGATCAGCGGCCTGTGCGTTCGCGCTGCTCTCTGCACGCGCCTTTAGAGCAGCCAGCTCCTCTTTGAGCTGCTTGTTTTCAGCGGCCGTCTTCTTCTCCCTCTCTTCGGTTTCAGCGAGCCTGTTCTTCAGCACGCCAATCTCGTGATCCTTCTGACCACATTCCGTCCGCCACAGGTTGTTCTCTACGAGGAGCTTCTGGTACTTTCGGGATGAGTTCAGCTTGTAGATCGCATCCTGCGGGAAAACGGACGAGGGTTTTCAGGCATTGTCAATGCTGTCGAAATATAAGGGCCGATCAGAGAACTGATGTACTCACAGCGGCTGCAGAGGTGCCTCTGGCTTCACGAAGTTCAATGCCAGCCTTGTGCATGATTGCCACTTTGATGGCCCATTTCTGGAAGAGATGGTGGCGGCAGAGCGGATTCATGTCCGTGTACGGGTGGCGCGGGCACTGGCATGGCCGTCTTGTACCGTCGAAAAGATGGTCGTGATCGGGGCAGTAGAACCACCACATGGCAAGGTCCTGTGCCACGATGTCTCGCCCAGGGTTTGCAAGAGCCTCCAAAAAACTTCTGCCAGAGTGGTGCGGCTTATCCGGATTCTCGCGGTTGTAATTATCGACCTGAGATGGTAGGACAGAGAAGACATTCAGCTCTGCCTAGCGCAACAACTTTAGACACTGCAAAAGGCTGGGTAATCAAGGGGTACCTTTGCCAAATCAGATTCGAGGCGCGGGAAGATGAACAGCTTGAAGAGGTCTTGCAACTGTTTCCACTCGGTGTCGTTGTCGAGTTTAGCGTGCGCTCTGCCGATGTAGTAATCTCCCGGCTCCCCACTGAATCCGGCCATCATCAAGACCGGCCAAAACGGAACGCCCACGACATAGGACTTTCGCATCTCGCCCTGCTCCCAGCCGCCGAGAGCGTTGATGTCGGGGTCGGGACAGCGATCGTCACTCAGGCCTTGGGCTCCCGATCGGCGAAACGCATGGGTCTTTTTGCTAATCCGCCAGGGCGGTCGCGCTACGTCGTTCATGACCCAATTAATCCAGTTGTTGTGAGTCACGTACGGAAGCTCTTCCTGCAGTTGTTCCCTTCCGTGCCTCAATGGGAAGAAAATGTGCTTCTTAGACCACTGAAGGGGGTCGCTGAAGTCCAGTGGCGGAATGATGTCCGCTCCGAATCGCAGTGGCACGAGGTCGTAGACGAAATGAATCCACAGAAAAAGACCACCAACACCGCAGAGCGCGAAGTTGATGTGCCGGGCCAAGAATTGGTGGGTCAGCCTGTTGGTCGCATTCGTCTTGGACTTTCGAGAGGCGAAAACCACCACAGGGAGATCCTTCTGGCGGTCGGGGACGGCCGTGCTGCTACGCGTGTGGCGGACAAACATGTTCGCGAATCGTAGAGCACGAATGCTGCATCCCCTCCCCAACATTTGGTGTGCGAGTTGAATCATCACCTGCACCGCAAAACACCGCCAGAGACTTTCTGATAGTGCAACCCTGGCTCTCTGGTAGCACTCTTTGATCTCCCTCAGAAAGTGCTTCTCGTGCAGGTCCGCGTACTGCTCCGACGTGTAGCAATCGTCCAGAGAGTTTCGGTGCTGATCCTTGCCCTCCCTGCATAGACCAACGTGAAACGTGCTTAGGCATCGAATTTTCGAGAATCTGTTTGGCCATGAAGTGTGTAAATACTCACGCAACCTGCTTGTCGTGCAGCTGTTTCAGCTTGAGCTTCATGTACTCCCGCGATTCGCCGATGTACACATCTGCTTGGGCCTTCGGGTAGTCGTAGAGTCGAGCTTCAAGTCTACCCAGGAAGCCCAAAGCGCTCATCTTTGCCTTCATCATGCTCGGCGTACTAGGGATGGGCTCCTTTCCAGCCACCACTTCTTCGCCTCTCCGCATCATCTCGGCCTGCGCGGGGGTTTCCTCTGCCATGTACCGCAGGAACCTCTGAATCCTCCATCCAGTAACACGGGGCCCGTGGAGATAAACTTCATCCAAATCCACAGTTGACCACTCCGCCTTTTTGTCGTTCCCCAGATGGCTTCCAACCCCGTCAGGATTCAGCGGGTCCAGACGCTCCGCCGCCGGAACCTCAGTCTTGGGCAGCGTTGACATGAACATGATGACCCACCACTTGTAGTGCAGCCAATACAGGATGTAGTCTTTTCTGGTTTTCGCCGCGAGATAATCGTAGGGGACCTTTGCGCGGCGAATCCTGCTGGCCACGTCGGCCTGTTTTCGAACTGACTCGTGCGTAGCTGATGCTGGCCCATCTGCATTTCTCTGAGGCGCGGCCTGCGATGCTTGCCCCTCCGCATTTCCCTGTGGCGCAACCTGTGGTTCTTGTCCCTCAGCATTTCCCGCGGGCGCAGCCGACGATCCGACACCATGTGCACTTCCATGGGGCGATGCCTCTGATTCTGGGCCGTTCACATTGCCACGGGCCGATTCCACAAAAAGAATTCGACAGGTGGCATTATCTTCAGAGGTTGGGCTTCGGCTAGCATTTTCCTCCCAATTCTCCTCAAACAACGCTCGGTGGGGGTCCTCGTCATCGTCCGCGAGATTAATGAACACCCCCCTCGGAATTCCGCCCCTCGGAAATCCGCCCTCAGCCACATTTCCCTCGACCCCGACTTCAGGGTTCGAGGCCGGAAATTCCTCCTGAGCATCCAGGAACACATCGCCCCCAACAGCTGCCTCGAATTCCCCGTCCGCATCGCGGTCCCCGGTTAGATCAATCGGGGCATTGGGCAGTTGGCAGTCTGGAAGATCATGATACTCCTCATTGAGGTCGAAATCGAGAGCTGCGCTAAGAAAATTACCCGTACCGCCTTCGCCCGCCATCACGGTGTACCTGTTTCAGAGGACTCTATGCTCCACATGTGCGCGAAACCTGTCCTGAAAGGGTTATTTTCGACAAGCGAAATCTAAAACGCCTCGTCGGGAATGGGATGGACTGCCAGCAAGCCCAGGAGCATGTTGTGCTGAAAAGAGACTCGTGATCGGAGTTGTTACGGGGAGAATAAACTATGAATGTGACCCTTCTGAGTGGAGAACAATGATGATCTGAAATGGATGTTCAATTTAGAGTTCTTTAGCGTCTCGAAAATGCCCCCATTTTTTAGAGTAGAAAAAAAATCTTCGCTGGCTCAACCCTCGGCGTGTGTGCAACTCTGAAAGAAGCAATCAATCATGCCATGCTGGATTGAAGGTATGGAAGCAAGGAGGGTGATGTTTTCCCCTAACATGCATTAAAGTTTGAAGGAAGAATCAAGAAATGACATACAACGGAGAGCTATTTAAGCATTCTGGGACTCAGCCACATGAACATGAGCACCACAACCTCTGACTGCATCCCTTCTTCCCGCCACAGCTTCTCTAGATCTGGTCGCAGGCCCCAGATCTGGGGTTCTTCCCACCTCTGTCAGAGCATTCGATTGGCTGGCTCCTCCACAATGGCGTAACTCTGAGCAACACCCCTCCCGCAGAGAACGAGTAACTCTGCCACGTGGAACACGGTCGGCGCGCAATGTAAAGAATGTAAATACACTTGATTTTCAATTTAGTTCTATACACCGGTTGGTGTCGAGATGTGAGATTTTAAAAAACAAGCTTAAAGTGGCTTGGTTCATTTTACGAATCTGTTAAAAATACCATGTCGCGATCGAAAAATCCGGTAAAAAGCTGTCTCCTTGTCAAACATTATACATGTTGTATTTGTGTAGGCTGTAGTGGGTTAGCCTATAGGGGGGTCACAACATTAGGGTTTCATATTTGTACTCACAATCCTTGCTAGTTCATCATTCCTGTCCGTTCATTCTGACATGGTTTCAGAGCAGGTCCTTTGCTAGGACCGTTTTTTTTAAGGGCCCACCGTTCCCTACCTACCTACCTACCTACCTAGGGCGCCTCGAACTTTTTTTTTTTTAACGGCCCCTACCTCCCGCGACCCGCGACCCGCCCCTTAAGGCCCCGTCGCGCCGCCCCTTAGCCGCTCGCGCGCGGTCGTTTTCATACGTGCGCCCCGCCTGCTGCCCGCGCGCGCCTTATTTCCCTCGCGCGCGGCCCGTCGCCTGCTCGCGCACGCCCCGCAGCCGCCCGTCGCCTGCTAGCGCACGCCCCGCAGCCGCTCGTAGCCTGCTCGCGCACGCCCCGCAGCCGCCCGTCGCCTGCTCGCGCACGCCCCGCAGCCGCCCGTCGCCTGCTAGCGCACGCCCCGCAGCCGCTCGTAGCCTGCTCGCGCACGCCCCGCAGCCGCCCGTCGCCTGCTCGCGCACGTCCCGCAGGCCCGCAGCCCGCTGTCGCAGCGGCCGCCCGCCCGCAGCCGCCCGCCCGCTGCCGCCCGTCGCCTGCTCGCGCACGCCCCGCAGCCGCCCGTCGCCTGCTCGCGCACGCCCCGCTGCCCGCAGCCGCTCGTACGCCGCTGCTTCCGCTGCTGCTTGCGCACTGCTGCCTCCCGAGCGCCGCCGCTGCCTGTGCGCCGCCGCTGCCCGTGCGCCGTCGCTGCTCCTACGCTGCCGCTGCCCGTGCGCTGCCGCTGCCCGTGCACCGCCGTTCCCCGTGCGCCGCTGCCGCCCGTGCGCTTCTGCAGCCGCCGCCCGCGAGGCACTCGCTCTCACTGTTGTTTATTTTCTACCTACCGCGCACACTGCTGCCACTGCAGCTGCCACCAGTGCACCGTTGCAGCTCCTGCTGCCACGCTACCTACTACTGCCGCTCGTGTGCCACTACGGACAGTCGACCCCGCCCGCGCCTTGCCTAGCGGCCCCGCCGGCCCCGTTGACCCTCCGCACACCTTTCCAGCGGCCTGCTTCCTACTACTACTGTTACTACTGCTACTACTGCTACTGCTACTGTCGCTATGGCTAGTCCGCCAGTTCTAGCTTTCGATGCCGAGGGCCGTCCAGTGAAGTTCGAAACCTGGCTAGATGACCTGCACCTGTTCCTACAGCTCACTGCCAAGGAAGATATCTCACTGTACGACCACGCCCTAGGCCATGTCACTGCCCCTGACTCGTCTGCTGACAGCACTCTGCGTTCCCAGTGGCAGACCCGTGATGCGCACGCTCGCTTTGCTATTCGCAACTCCCTGCCGCTAGACGAGCGCGAGCACTTCGGCCAGTGCAAGACTGCTAAGGACCTCTACACCGCTGTAGTTGCCCGCTACTCCTCACCCGCTTCTGCCACGCTAGGCCGCCTCACTCTCCCCTACCTGTTCCCCGACCTAGCCTCCTTTCACACTGTCGCAGACCTCATCACCCACCTTAAGACTAGTGAGGCCCGCTTTCGCGCTGCTATGCCTGCCGAGTTTCTCACTAGCAACCCCCCCCCGCTCTGGATCACTCTCTACCACATCGTCACCCGCCTCCCTGACTCTCTGCGCGCAGTCAGGGACCACTTCCTCTCTCGCTCCCCCACTGAGCTCACTGTTGCCCTCCTCGAGAAGGAACTGCTTGCAGCTGAGGCGAGCATCGTCGCTGTAGGCACCTCTCGTGGCGACCCCCGCACCCCGTTCTTTGAGGGGTGTTCCCCTTCCCCCCTCCTCCCCTCTGTCGCCTCTGCTGCTGCTGTCGACCTTCTTGGTGCTGAGAAGGTCGGGACCGCGTCTGCTTCGAGCGGGCGCCGCAGGAACAAGGGGGGCAGGGGTGGGGGTGGCGGCGGAGGAGGTGGGGGTGGAGGCGGTGGGAGTGGAGGTGCGGCTGGGGAGACTAGTGGCGGCAGTGGGGGAGGAGACAGCAGCGGTGGGAGTGGTGGTGGAGGCGGCAGCGGAGGCGGAGGTGGTCGTGGCGGCGGCAGGGGTGGAGGTGGCCGGGGCGGCGGCGGTGGGGGTGGTGGTCGTGGAGGCACTGGCGGAGGGCAGAGTCAGCAGCCCGCCCCGACGCTTCAGGCCGCCCGTGAGTGGTATGCGCAGCGTAGCGTTACCTGCACGTACGTCATTCGCACAGGTGACCGCAGCGGCCAGCAGTGTGGGAGGCCGCACCCCACGCAGCGCTGCTTCGCGCGCCTTAACGACGCGTGGCGCACTCAGTTTCCTGCTGCCACTGAGCTGCCGCGCTGGGCTGATCTGGAAAAGAGGGGTGTTGATATTTGGGCTTTAGACTTTGATGCTATTCTCACTGCCATGTATGCGATGTCTATTAGTGGAGAGGGTGCTCAGTACTTGCGTGTTCCGCCCGACCCGGGCATTCAGGCCAGTCCGGCTGCCGCTCTAGGTGCTAGTGCGTCTGCTCCCACAGGTCCTGGTGAGGCTGCAGCCCTAGGTGCTCGTGCGTCCGTGCCCCCTGGTACTGAGTCGACTGCAGCACTGCACACCTTCACACTGGACTCAGGTGCTTCTCGCTCCTTCTTTCGTGACCGCACTGTCCTTGAGCCACTCGCTCGGCCAGTTGCTGTCTCCCTTGCTGACCCCTCTGGGGGTCCGGTCATTGCGACCTCCTCCACTGTCCTTCCTTGTCCGGCGGTCCCGTCCGGCACGCTGTCAGGTCTCTACCTCCCCTCGTTCTCTACGAACTTGGTGGCAGGTAGTGCGCTCCAGGACGGGGGTGTTCACCAGTTCACCCCTGCCTACGAGCGCGTGACACACTGCACGTGTGCTCGGACGGGTCGCCACCTGGCTACCTTCACTCGGGAGCCGGGGTCGGACCTGTACACACTGACCACTGAGTCCCCTCAGGTAGCTGCGTCCGCGTCTGCGTCTGCGTCAGGTCAGCTGTCCGCCCCCTGCTCGTGTCGCTCTCTGGCGCATGAGACTGTCCTTTGGCACCACCGCCTTGGTCACCCGTCTGTGCAGCGCCTTCGGGCCATGCACAAACGGGACCTTGTTGCTGGTCTTCCCAGGGTGCTCCCTCCCCTTCCCGACTCGCCTGCTCCTCCCTGTATTCCCTGTGTCGAGGGGCGGCAGCGCGCCGCTCCTCACTCCTCCTCCTTTCCCCCGACGACTGCTCCCTTGCAGACGCTCCACATGGACGTGTGGGGCCCAGCCCGCGTCCGTGGTCAGGGTCAGGAGAGGTACTTCCTGATTGTTGTTGACGACTTCTCGCGCTACACCACGGTCTTCCCCTTGCGCGCCAAGGGTGACGTCCCTGATGTCTTGATCCCTTGGATCCGCAGATCTCGTCTCCAGCTCCGTGAGCGTTTCCGCTCCGACTTCCCTGTCCTGCGTCTGCACTCTGACAGAGGTGGGGAGTTTTCCTCTGGCCTATTGGAGGCCTTCTGTCAGCAGGAGGGCATTGAGCAGTCGTACACGCTTCCGGCCTCTCCACAGCAGAATGGGGTTGCTGAGCGCCGCATTGGTCTGGTCATGGAGGTCGCTCGTACCTCCTTGAGCCATGCGGCTGCCCCCCATTTTCTGTGGCCGTTTGCAGTCCGATACGCTGCGCATCAGCTCAACCTCTGGCCCCGTGTCTCCTTGCCCGAGACTTCTCCGACACTGCGTTGGACGGGAGAGGCTGGCGATGCGTCGCGTTTTCGGGTCTGGGGATCCCGAGCTTTTGTCCGTGACACGTCCGCGGACAAGCTCTCCCGTCGCGCTGTCCCCTGCGTCTTCCTTGGCTTTGTCCCGGACGCCCCTGGCTGGCAGTTCTACCACCCCACCTCGCGTCGTGTCCTGGCCTCTCAGGACGTCACTTTTGACGAGTCCGTCCCCTACTACCGCCTCTTCCCCTACCGCACTGCCCCGCTCCCCCCCCCCGCCTCTCTTCCTCGCTCCAGGTGCTGAGGTACCAGACCCCCTCCCCCCTCAGGGTGCCGCTCCCTCAGGTGTGTCCCAGGTAGACCCGGGTGAGCCTGTCGAGGTAGCTGTTGACTCTCGTCCTGCTAGGGGTGCTGAGCCTGGGGGTGCTGCGTCTGGGGGTGCTGAGCCTGGGGGTGCTGCGTCTGGGGGTGCTGAGCCTGGGAGTGCTGAGTCTGGGGGTGCGGAGCCTGGGGGTGCTGAGCCAGGAGGTGCGGAGCCTGGAGGTGCGGAGCCTGGAGGTGCTGAGCCTGGGGGTGCTGAGTCTGGGGGTGCTGAGTCTGGGGGTGCTGAGCCTGAGCGTGCTACACCTGGAGGAGCCCTCTCCTCCCAGCAGCTGCAGGAGAGGTACCTCGAGTACTGCCGCCTCCGGAGAGGTGCTGCTGGAGCTCGTCCCGGTACTTCCCCTCCTACCCAGGAGCTCCCCCCCATTCAGCAGATCCGCGAGTGGTACACACGGCGCTGCAGTCTTCGGAGTGGTGCTCCTGGTGCTGCGGACCCTGGGGGTGGCGCTGCTGCTGGTGCTGAGGACCCGGACGTGGGAGCTGCTGCTGGTGCTGCGGACCCGCCTGGTGGAGCTACTGCTGGTGCTGAGGACTCGGACGTTGGAGCTGCTGCTGGAGCTGAGGACCCGGGCGGTGGCGCTGCTGCTGGTGCTGAGGACCCGGACGGTGGAGCTGCTGCTGGTGCTGAGGACTCGGACGGTGGAGCTGCTGCTGGAGCTGAGGACCCGAGCGGTGGCACTGCTGCTGCTGCTGAGGACCCGGGCGTTGGAGCTACTACTGGTGCTGAGGACCCGGCCGGTGGAGCTGCTGCTGGTGCTGTGGACCCGGACGCTGGAGCTCCTACTGGTACTGAGGACCCGGCCACTGGAGTCTCCTCTGCTTCCGGAGACGCTGCGCGGCCGCGACCGTACTTCGTACCGCTCCTTCAGCAGGTTCTTGGGCAGGCTCCTCCTCCTTGTCCTCCTCCCTCCGTAGAGTGTCCTCCGCCTGTCCAGCCGCAGTCACAGTTACCGCCTACCTCGCCTCTCCCTGCTCCCTCTCCTTACACTGGTCCCACAGGAGGTCTTACAGAGCGTCGTGAGCCTGAGTCTCGTCCTGCGTCGCCTGTTCGTCCTGCTCGCACTGGTAGTCGTGTCCGTCGTGAGCGTCCTCCTCCTGTCCCAGGCACTCACTACATGACTCTGCGTCCCTCTACTGCTCCTCAGCGTGTCCCTCTACCGTCTCCTCCTGCGTCCTCTTTGCCTGACGTTCCGGACCCTGAGTCTGACCGGTATCGTGCTGAGCACCCTACTGTCACGCGTCTCCTTGCTACTGTTGTCACTGACCCTACCTTTGAGTCCTTGGCTGCGTCTGCTCTGGTCGCTGAGTTGGTTGACTTTGCTGCTGCCTGTCGTCTAGACTACGCTGCTAGCCTTGTTGCTGAGTCTGAGTCTGAGTCTGTCTGTCCTCCGTCCGTCGGGGGTGAGTGTGCTCTTGGCACGGACGTCCTTGAGGACAGACAGGAGGAGTTCCAGTGTCTTGCTGCTGCTTTGCCCCGTCTCGTGTCCTTGCTAGTTGCCCCTGAGGGAGACCCGGATGCACCAGACATCCCGACCCCGCGCACTTACGCTGAGGCGATGGCGGGTCCCTACTCCTCTTAGTGGCAGACAGCCATGGACGCCGAGATGGCTTCCTGGAAGTCCACACGCACCTACGTCGACGAGGTTCCCCCTCCTGGGGCGAACATCGTCAGTGGCATGTGGATTTTCAGGGTGAAGCGGCCGCCGGGTTCTCCGCCTGTCTTCAAGGCGCGTTACGTGGCTCGAGGCTTCAGTCAGCGAGAGGGAGTTGACTTCTTCCAGACCTTCTCCCCCACCCCGAAGATGACTACTCTTCGGGTGCTGCTGCACATAGCCGCTCACCGCGACTACGAGCTTCACTCACTTGACTTCAGCACTGCTTTCTTGCAGGGCAGCCTGCACGAGGAGATCTGGCTGCGCCGCCCACCTGGCTTCACTGGGTCGTTTCCTCCTGGTACCCAGTGGAGGCTTCAGCGGCCGGTCTACGGTCTCCGCCAGGCTCCGCGTGAGTGGCACGACACACTGAGGACTACACTTGCGGCTCTTGGGTTCGCGCCTTCTACAGCTGACCCGTCGTTGTTCCTGCGCACCGACACTTCGCTACCGCCGTTCTACATCCTCGTGTACGTCGACGACTTGGTCTTTGCCACTGCTGACACTGCAGGACTCGCCTACGTGAAGTCGGAGCTGCAGAGGAGAAGCGGCAGAAGGAGGAGGAGGAGCGGAAGAGGGAGGAGACGAGAAAGGCGGAACGCGAAAAGGAGGAGAAGCGGCAGAAGGAGGAGGAGGAGCGGAAGAGGGAGGAGGCGAGGAAGGCGGAACGCGAAAAGGAGGAGAAGCGGCAGAAGGAGGAGGAGGAGCGGAAGAGGGAGGAGGCGAGGAAGGCGGAACGCGAAAAGGAGGAGAAGCGGCAGAAGGAGGAGGAGGAGCGGAAGAGGGAGGAGGCGAGGAAGGCGGAACGCGAAAAGGAGGAGAAGCGGCAGAAGGAGGAGGAGGAGCGGAAGAGGGAGGAGGCGAGGAAGGCGGAACGCGAAAAGGAGGAGAAGCGGCAGAAGGAGGAGGAGGCAAAGGCGATGGAAAGGAGGCGGGCACAGAGGGAGGCGAAGTTAGAAGCTAAGCGCCAGCAGATTGCTAAGATTGCGGAAACAAAGCGGTTGGAGGCAGCAAAGCGAAAAAGAGACCTCGAAATAGAGCGTCGGAAAGCCCTGGAGGAGATCGAGCGTATTGCACGGTTAGAGGAAGCCGCAAAGGAGGAAGAGGAGAGGCAACAAATGGAGTTAGAGGCGGAAACAGAGAAAATGGAAAACGAGAGGCGACGGATTGCGGGGGAGGATGAGGAAGGGGCAGCGGGGCAACGGCAGGGAGGAGAGGCAGAAGAAGGGTGGGCCGGGATTCTTCAAGTGATTTCATTGGTTCCCGATGAACCGCTGCAAGTAGTTGACCTCGTGGGGGAGGTGGAGGGTTCGGAACATGTGACAGGCTCTGGAGGTCTAGAAACTCAACCGCCTTTGAAGAGGCTTCGCATTGACCAGACCGGAACGAACTTCGACGCGGATGAGGGGTCTTTGGGGGCTGCTGCGTCAGAGGAATGTGTCGGTGAAAATGTGTCGGGAAATCAGAACGTTCAACCAACGTTGGGGGAGGCGACGGGAGAGGTGGCACCGCGAAGAGCGGATGTGCTACCAGACGAGCTAGGGAAGCGGTGGGGGGAAACAAAGCATTTCAGATCGAGTGGTCTTACCACACGCGAGAAGAAGAACAAAAAGGGGGAAGTGGTGTACGTGCGCTACAACTCGGAGCAAAGCGTCGGAGGTGTGAAGAGGAACATGGGGAGCTACAAGGAGCGGAAACTACGCGATTTCACAGTGGCCGTCTGTTGGATGGCCTACTTCCCCGACACCGACATGGCCCATTACGGCTTGGATCCTGCCGAGCTTGGCTTGTGGGCGGTCCACCTCGATTTCGCTCGTGAACTCCCGACGGGTGTCTGGAGTGTCATGAACGAATTGAACCTCGACAAGTTCGAGAAGTAAGTACTCGATTCGGATTAGCTAGATCTAGTACACTTTCCCGTTTTGCCTTACTAACCGTGTACCCACCTCGCCTGTGCAGCTTCGAAAACGTCATGAACAAGACAAATGCACGGGTGAAGGACGGCGCACATTTCCAGGTGGCCGTTTGCACAGGGATTGGACAGGCCCTGGTACACGGAGGGAGTGGGCTGGTGTCGCCCCCCGCGAATGTCACTCCCGCGGTCTATGCAGCGGGAGTAGCTGCAACCCTCTACACCTTGTGGTGTGCCTCGATCGGCATTCCCCACCAGGACTGGGCGGAGGGTGCGGATGAGGCGGCTCGTGGCACGCTCAACGAGGCAAGCCTTGCTAGTCGAGCAACCTCTACTGCTCGCCTCGGAGTGTGGACCTTGAAGGCCGTGAAGAACCTAACGCACGAGAAGGCGGATTGGGAAGTGGTGCTCACCAAGGCCATTCTCGGCCTTGTGGATCCCGAGCCCGGGGAGGCAGAGGCTATTGAAATGGCCAAGGTGGTTTCGAGGGTGCTGGTGTACTGGTGCGAGTGCTGTCACGCAAACCAGAGTCTTTACGCGTATCAGGGTGGGATGCTCCATTTTCCCCAGCCCACAAAAGGGGGACGGCGGAAGGGGAATGCGGGAGGCAACGAGTGATGCAGGATGGGGAGGGTAATTTCGAGTTTGCAGCAGCTCTGTACTATAGTCTGCTGAATGTTGTAGTTTTTGAGTTTTCATTGATTTGAACTTAAATCTGTTACATGCATTGTTTGACTCGAAAGCATGGCGTGAATAAGGACTTGAATGCTGTAGGGTTAGATCTCTGAACCACGGTGTTTCCTTAATTGCTTTTGAGGCTTTGTTTTCAAGTAACTAGCGTACTTAGGATTTCGATCGTGAACTTAACGCGTGACGAGAGTGCAACCCTCTTGCTTCGGATTAGTCTGTGGCATGCTTTGATATTCGACACATTCCCATGTTTTCGAGACATTCCCATGCTTAACATTGACGTTCCAATGACTAGTGTTACTCTAAAGGAGGATTTAGAATCTAGAACAGAAGAGAGGGAGGGCATCAAAGTTCCCTCTGGCGGCGCAGTGATTTCTTTTTGCATGCCATCATAGTTTGTTGCTAACCCTGATTTTCGAGAGATTCCTACGTTCCATTGATTATTGTGGCAGGTAACCATGTACTCCAAAGGGAGCCTGCTCATTCGAGTTTTGTTCGCGTATTTTTTCTATGCCGTCGCAGCACTGTTAACGACACCTGTTTTCGAGCACAATCCTCTTGGTACGATAGGCGAAGGTTACGATGTACGGCGGGTGTAAATTTTGTAGTGGAACTACATACGATCCAACAATGATGTAACTCTAAAAGAGGTTTTAGATCAGAGGAAACTAAAAATAAGAAAAAGAGGGGTCAAAGTCAAGAGCAGAGCAGAAATGAGGTCCAAGATGAGGGAAGCGATCACGGAAGGAAGTCTCGGTAGCGTAAACTACTTCTTCAGTTTAGCCAGCTTCAACGGCTCCTCGATCTTGATCTTCTTCCAAACATCTTTCCCAAACATCTTCTCTCCCCACCCGTCACCCACCATCTGGGCGGCGAAGAGGAGGTACCCGACCTTGCGGCGCTTGTTCTCCGTCGTCTTATCCTTGGCTCGTTTCCGAGAATCACCCCATCCGCCAGTGCGCTAATCGAACTCCGACCCACCACGTCCTTCTCGATCTTCGCAATGGCATCTCGGGTGGCCTCCTCCGTTTCGTTAGCCCTGTATTTCTCGACCGCGAGCATCATGTTCCTCATGCGCTTCATTTTTTTGTCGCCAGCATCGTCCTTCACACCCTTCTCAATGTACGAGAAAGTGGGGTAGAAACTTTTTTCTGACGACAGCTGGCGGAGAGTCTTCCCTTCCATCAAAAAGGTCACCTTCACCCAGTGCTCCCATGCCTTTGCGACCGACTCCGAGTCCCGCCAGGGTTTAACGACAAGGTCGAAAAATGCCCGCACTGGAGTGCTGGCTTGTGCCTTCCCAGGCTTCGGAGCCTCCCCACCAGCTTCCTCCTTTGCCGACGAGCCCGACCCTCGATCAGCGGCCTGTGCGTTCGCGCTGCTCTCTGCACGCGCCTTAGCAGCCAGCTCCTCTTTGAGCTGCTTGTTTTCAGCGGCCGTCTTCTTCTCCCTCTCTTCGGTTTCAGCGAGCCTGTTCTTCAGCACGCCAATCTCGTGATCCTTCTGACCACATTCCGTCCGCCACAGGTTGTTCTCTACGAGGAGCTTCTGGTACTTTCGGGATGAGTTCAGCTTGTAGATCGCATCCTGCGGGAAAACGGACGAGGGTTTTCAGGCATTGTCAATGCTGTCGAAATATAAGGGCCGATCAGAGAACTGATGTACTCACAGCGGCTGCAGAGGTGCCTCTGGCTTCACGAAGTTCAATGCCAGCCTTGTGCATGATTGCCACTTTGATGGCCCATTTCTGGAAGAGATGGTGGCGGCAGAGCGGATTCATGTCCGTGTACGGGTGGCGCGGGCACTGGCATGGCCGTCTTGTACCGTCGAAAAGATGGTCGTGATCGGGGCAGTAGAACCACCACATGGCAAGGTCCTGTGCCACGATGTCTCGCCCAGGGTTTGCAAGAGCCTCCAAAAAACTTCTGCCAGAGTGGTGCGGCTTATCCGGATTCTCGCGGTTGTAATTATCGACCTGAGATGGTAGGACAGAGAAGACATTCAGCTCTGCCTAGCGCAACAACTTTAGACACTGCAAAAGGCTGGGTAATCAAGGGGTACCTTTGCCAAATCAGATTCGAGGCGCGGGAAGATGAACAGCTTGAAGAGGTCTTGCAACTGTTTCCACTCGGTGTCGTTGTCGAGTTTAGCGTGCGCTCTGCCGATGTAGTAATCTCCCGGCTCCCCACTGAATCCGGCCATCATCAAGACCGGCCAAAACGGAACGCCCACGACATAGGACTTTCGCATCTCGCCCTGCTCCCAGCCGCCGAGAGCGTTGATGTCGGGGTCGGGACAGCGATCGTCACTCAGGCCTTGGGCTCCCGATCGGCGAAACGCATGGGTCTTTTTGCTAATCCGCCAGGGCGGTCGCGCTACGTCGTTCATGACCCAATTAATCCAGTTGTTGTGAGTCACGTACGGAAGCTCTTCCTGCAGTTGTTCCCTTCCGTGCCTCAATGGGAAGAAAATGTGCTTCTTAGACCACTGAAGGGGGTCGCTGAAGTCCAGTGGCGGAATGATGTCCGCTCCGAATCGCAGTGGCACGAGGTCGTAGACGAAATGAATCCACAGAAAAAGACCACCAACACCGCAGAGCGCGAAGTTGATGTGCCGGGCCAAGAATTGGTGGGTCAGCCTGTTGGTCGCATTCGTCTTGGACTTTCGAGAGGCGAAAACCACCACAGGGAGATCCTTCTGGCGGTCGGGGACGGCCGTGCTGCTACGCGTGTGGCGGACAAACATGTTCGCGAATCGTAGAGCACGAATGCTGCATCCCCTCCCCAACATTTGGTGTGCGAGTTGAATCATCACCTGCACCGCAAAACACCGCCAGAGACTTTCTGATAGTGCAACCCTGGCTCTCTGGTAGCACTCTTTGATCTCCCTCAGAAAGTGCTTCTCGTGCAGGTCCGCGTACTGCTCCGACGTGTAGCAATCGTCCAGAGAGTTTCGGTGCTGATCCTTGCCCTCCCTGCATAGACCAACGTGAAACGTGCTTAGGCATCGAATTTTCGAGAATCTGTTTGGCCATGAAGTGTGTAAATACTCACGCAACCTGCTTGTCGTGCAGCTGTTTCAGCTTGAGCTTCATGTACTCCCGCGATTCGCCGATGTACTCATCTGCTTAGGCCTTCGGGTAGTCGTAGAGTCGAGCTTCAAGTCTACCCAGGAAGCCCAAAGCGCTCATCTTTGCCTTCATCATGCTCGGCGTACTAGGGATGGGCTCCTTTCCAGCCACCACTTCTTCGCCTCTCCGCATCATCTCGGCCTGCGCGGGGGTTTCCTCTGCCATGTACCGCAGGAACCTCTGAATCCTCCATCCAGTAACACGGGGCCCGTGGAGATAAACTTCATCCAAATCCACAGTTGACCACTCCGCCTTTTTGTCGTTCCCTAGATGGCTTCCAACCTCGTCAGGATTCAGCGGGTCCAGACGCTCCGCCGCCGGAACCTCAGTCTTGGGCAGCGTTGACATGAACATGATGACCCACCACTTGTAGTGCAGCCAATACAGGATGTAGTCTTTTCTGGTTTTCGCCGCGAGATAATCGTAGAGGACCTTTGCGCGGCGAATCCTGCTGGCCACGTCGGCCTGTTTTCGAACTGACTCGTGCGTAGCTGATGCTGGCCCATCTGCATTTCTCTGAGGCGCGGCCTGCGATGCTTGCCCCTCCGCATTTCCCTGTGGCGCAACCTGTGGTTCTTGTCCCTCAGCATTTCCCGCGGGCGCAGCCGACGATCCGACACCATGTGCACTTCCATGGGGCGATGCCTCTGATTCTGGGCCGTTCACATTGCCACGGGCCGATTCCACAAAAAGAATTCGACAGGTGGCATTATCTTCAGAGGTTGGGCTTCGGCTAGCATTTTCCTCCCAATTCTCCTCAAACAACGCTCGGTGGGGGTCCTCGTCATCGTCCGCGAGATTAATGAACACCCCCCTCGGAATTCCGCCCCTCGGAAATCCGCCCTCAGCCACATTTCCCTCGACCCCGACTTCAGGGTTCGAGGCCGGAAATTCCTCCTGAGCATCCAGGAACACATCGCCCCCAACAGCTGCCTCGAATTCCCCGTCCGCATCGCGGTCCCCGGTTAGATCAATCGGGGCATTGGGCAGTTGGCAGTCTGGAAGATCATGATACTCCTCATTGAGGTCGAAATCGAGAGCTGCGCTAAGAAAATTACCCGTACCGCCTTCGCCCGCCATCACGGTGTACCTGTTTCAGAGGACTCTATGCTCCACATGTGCGCGAAACCTGTCCTGAAAGGGTTATTTTCGACAAGCGAAATCTAAAACGCCTCGTCGGGAATGGGATGGACTGCCAGCAAGCCCAAGAGCATGTTGTGCTGAAAAGAGACTCGTGATCGGAGTTGTTACGGGGAGAATAAACTATGAATGTGACCCTTCTGAGTGGAGAACAATGATGATCTGAAATGGATGTTCAATTTAGAGTTCTTTAGCGTCTCGAAAATGCCCCCATTTTTTAGAGTAGAAAAAAAATCTTCGCTGGCTCAACCCTCGGCGTGTGTGCAACTCTGAAAGAAGCAATCAATCATGCCATGCTGGATTGAAGGTATGGAAGCAAGGAGGGTGATGTTTTCCCCTAACATGTGTTAAAGTTTGAAGGAGGAATCAAGAAATGACATACAACGGAGAGCTATTTAAGCATTCTGGGACTCAGCCACATGAACATGAGCACCACAACCTCTGACTGCATCCCTTCTTCCCGCCACAGCTTCTCTAGATCTGGTCGCAGGCCCCAGATCTGGGGTTCTTCCCGCCTCTGTCAGAGCATTCGATTGGCTGGCTCCTCCACAATGGCGTAACTCTGAGCAACACCCCTCCCGCAGAGAACGAGTAACTCTGCCACGTGGAACACGGTCGGCGCGCAATGTAAAAGAATGTAAATACACTTGATTTTCAATTTAGTTCTATACACCGGTTGGTGTCGAGATGTGAGATTTTAAAAAACAAGCTTAAAGTGGCTTGGTTCATTTTACGAATCTGTTAAAATACCATGTCGCGATCGAAAAATCCGGTAAAAAGCTGACTCTTTGTGGTCCCGAAAGTTTATCACGTTTCCGAAATTTTTAATCATTTGTACCTAAAACCGTATTCTTAAAAATAAACGACTACTACCCTATAACCTGGTGTATAAAAAACAGTCGTTTCTCATTATGACACCAAAACAGCTGTTGTTCGTGTTGATGGGTGGACGCAAACTGCAACTGTGTTCGATATATGCAGTGTAGAAAACGTCTGTCGTTATTGAAAAAAACAATCTGCTCGTCTGTCTCTTAGCGAATGGCCAAGGTACATATTGCGTTTCATAATACTGAATTAGGCGGAGGATCGTGCAAATAACGAGCTTGCACTCATGCGGAAGTAGACGTAATCTAGTAAAACGTGTGCAGTTTACCAAATTTCACTGTAAACAAATGTTTAACACGAAGCTCAATATCGAGTTTCTCGATATTGCAGTTTTCACATACTGGTTGCGACGTGCTCGCAGAGATCACGTCGCAACCGTTTGCGCGAAAAGTGCACGTCAATTGACGGCTGCACTTTGACGTTGGCGAGAGCACGTGCTTCGCCAGCTACATTGCACGCACGAATCTGCTCGGGCAGAGCACAGTTTCACGGGCAGGCCGAGCCTAGCCCTTGGGGCGGTGGGGGTTGTTCTACTCGGCGCAATCTTGCGCCGCTTCCGCTTGGGTCGAGTCCCAGCTCGACCCAAGCAGCTGGACCCACGTTTTTTCCCAGGCAAATCCGCTCGACCAGCGCCAAGAGCAATATAACTTCCCCCTCCTCTTCCGTCAAGGGGGGGGATTCTCACGTCGCATTTCTCGAGAAGATTCTTGTACCCGCCTAAACGCGCTTCTGCATAACATATACTCGTGTACAGCTCTCCACTCCTCGAAAACAACAATACTATTCCATTCCGCCTATTCCCCTCCAACTCCCACTTTCCCCATTCCCCTCCAAATTTCCTCAATAATCCCAGTTCATTCTACCCGTTGATCTGTTGCTGCTGGGACCAGTTTCTGGATCAGATCAACGTCTCTCTTTCGTCTCATCCCCGGCGCGGGCCCCGCTGACCGCCGAGCGGTCGCAGCGCGCGGATCTTCCGCCGTGGCCGCTTGATCTCATTCCTCCATTGCTTGGTCTCTGCCGTTAGGAAATAAAGTAGAGAAGAACGAAGCAAGGGATTTGGGAGTTATCTTTACAGAGTGTGGGAAGTATTTTTACGCGCTACACAGCAGCAGCAGAACACGAGGAGGCATGGGGATCGAAGAGGAGCGATCGGGCGATTCCCATTCGAGAGACGAGGAGAATGGAGGGGAATCAACGGTGCGAGTAGACGGAGGGGACGAGAAAGCCGGCGGTCAAGGAGACCAAGGCGACGTGCACGCAGCATTAGACGCAGGGACGGACGGCTCGCGCGAATCTGCGAGTGAGGGTAAGGAGAATGAGGGGAATCAGGCGGAGAACGGGGAAGAGGCGGAAGGTCCGGGGAACCGCGGGGACGACGCGGAGAAGGCTGCAGCGCCTGCTGCTGCCGTGGCGGGTGGTGGGGATGCGGAGGCGGAAGCGGAAGCGGAGGGGGAAGGGGAGGCGGAGGAGGTGGTGGCTGTGGTGGTGGAGGAAGCGGAGGGTGCGGATGAGAAGGGGGATGGGGAAGGGGAAGCGGGCGAGGGGGAGGAGCAGGCGGAGGTGGAGGAAGAGGAGGAGGAGGAGGGCGGGGAGGGGGATGGGGAGGACGAAGAGGAAGATGAGGAGGAGGAGGGAGAGGAGGAAGAGGGGGTATCCGATGAAGGGGAGGCGGGAGGAGCGGGCGCCCCGGGCCGCCGCGCAGCTCCGCGCATGAGCCGTGAGGCGCGGAGTATCTACGAGCGGATCCGCGCGCGTCCGTGCCGCGTTGCGCGCGTGATCATCGCGGGGAACAAGCGCACAAAAGCGGCGATCATCTCCCGCATCATGGCGGGCGCGCTGGCGGAGCTGGCGGAAGCGGAATCGGCGGAGGCGGAAGCGGCGGGCGGAAGCTTCGAGGATCTGCAGTCGGCGCTGCTGCGCGCCAATCGCGCGCTGCGCGGGCTGGGGGTGTTCGAGGATGTGACTATAGTGGTGGATGCGCTTCCCGGGAACCCGCCTGGCACTGCAACGGTTGTGATTAACGTGAAGGAGGATAGCGTGTTAGCCGCTAACGTCGGCACGTACCTGCAGGTGAGCGCGCGAGAGGGAGAGGCAGGGTGGACAACGTTGGAGAGGGGGAAGGGGGAGATTATATGAAGTGAGTTGGGATGGGGACTGGGGGAAGGGGAGTAAGGATGATGGGTTATTGTGAGTGAGGGGAGTGTGGATGGGAATAGGGGGTGTGTGTTGTGTGTTATGAGCGGGGAATGGGAGTGGAGCAGCGCTGAAGAGTGTGCCCCTTCCCTCCCCCCCACTCTCACCCCGTGCCCTTTCTCCCTCCCTTTCCCCTTTCCCCCTTCCTTCGTCCTTCCTCTCCTCCGCTTTCCTTGTCGCCCTGCTTTTCCGCTTTTGCGCATCTATTCCCCTCCCGTTTCCCAAGCACTCCGTTTTCCCTTTCCGTCCCCCTCTTCTTCCCTCCCTCTGTTTCCCTCTCACTTCCCACCCTTCTCTTCCCTCTCTCTCTTCTCTCACTCTCTTCCACATACCCGCATCCTCTCCCCCTTTCTCCCCCCTCCATGGCCTCTCTCCTCTCTCACCTCTCTGTCCCTCTCCCGCTCGCCCTCGCTACCTCCCTTTCCCCCGCCCCCCCTTTCCTTCCCCCTGCCAGAGGGACGGGCGCACCAGTGAGGCGCGCATAACCCTCAGGAACCTCCTCGGGTATGCCGAGTCGCTCGACGTCTCTCTCGGCGTGGGCCACGACGGCGCCTCTTCTTCCGGCATTGCCTCCTGGTCCATCCTGCAGACTGCAGGCAACTCCTTTGCTCTCTCCCTCTCCTGCCCGCTCCTGCTCCTCCCACCCTCGCTGCAATCCCTCCTCCCGTCCCCGTACTCTCACCCCTCCTCCTCTTCCTCCTCAGCTGCGTCTCCTGGTTCTGACGCTCCCACGTCGTTTCCCTATGTGGAGATGCGACTGTTCAAGACCACCCGCTCCTTGCTGCCCTACACCTCGCTCTCCCAGTGCCTACGTGGCGCCACGCTGGGCCTCCACGTGGGCAGGCACGAGCTGGCGTACGAGCTGACGTGGCGAGAAAACTCCGCCGCTGCCGCCAGCAGCGCCGAATCCACCACCAAAACCACCACCAGCACTAGCAGTACCAGCAGCGCCGCCAGCAGCAGCGGCAGTGGAAGCGGTGGGGGTGATGGTGGTGGTGGTGGGTGGGGAATAGCGCCTGCGCCTGCTGTGGTGCGCGGTGTGTGCTCCCCCGCTGTTCAGCGCGACCTGGGTCACTCGCTGCTCTCCGCTGTCCGATACGTCTACAGCATTGACAAGAGGTCTGCGCTTCTTTCTCCCTTCCTGCTGTTTCAAGCGTGCAACGTCCTGCGCCTTGTTGGTGTGTCAAGCATGCCGCCATGCACACACACAGACACACCCTGACAATCTCCGCATAACTTTCATCCACGTCTCATCCATCCACGTCTCATCCATCCACGTCTCATCCTCCCAAGCCTAGTCGATCTACGCTTTGAACCGAGAAATTTCTGCGTGTCACACCGAGCAGGCAGACGGAAATCTCGCTTGCATCTCTGATCCGCATTGCCCCTTGGCATCCCTCCCCCATATCCCTTATTCCAGCCGCTTCTGACCTATTCCAACCTCTTCCCCTCTCTCCTACCTGCCATTCCTATCTCTTCCCAGGGATTCCCGGTCTGCCCTAGGACGGGGTATGCAATGCGCGCCACAACAGAGCTGGCTCGCAGGGCTGGGCACAGACGTCAAGCTCGTCATTTCAAATCAACTCAAGATGCTCTCCCTCTCTTTCGCTCCCTTTCATTCTCTTTCGCTCTCTTTCTCTCTTGTTCTCTTCCCAGGGATTCCCAGGTCCGCCCTAGGACGGGGTATGCCATGCGCGCCACAACAGAGCTGGCAGGGCTGGGTACAGACCCCAAGCTCGTCAGCTTCCTGCGCCAGGTGAGAACAACAGAGCCGCGAATCCGTCCCAGGTGAAGGCAACAGAGCTGCGATTTGTCCCATCCCAGGTACTGGTGCATGTGGGGTGGGGTTGCATGTGGAATCGTGCGAGCCAATGTAACAGCCAATTCGGCAGCCCTATCACCCGCTCTCATCACCCGATCTCATCTCATCACCCGATCTCATCACCACGCCCATTCACGCTCCTGTGCAAGCACGCCTGTCCCCTCCTCACATACCACAACAATTCCTCCATTCCGTATCCCATTCCTCCCCCCGCTCCACCCCCCCTTCTCGCCCCTCCACCCCCCTTTTCCCCCCTCCAATCCCCCCCCCACTTCCCCACCCATCTCCCATCTCCCACCCGTGTCCAGGAGCTGGAGCTAGCAACGGCCCTGCCTCTCCCCATCGCCAATGCTCCAATGCTGAGGCCAACAAGAACACTCTATTTTAGGAGCCTCAATCCCCCCCCCCCCCCCTCCCCCTCCCCCATCTCCTCCCCCATCTCCCCTCTTCCACCCGTATCCAGGAGCTTGAGCTAGCAACAGCCCTGCCTCTCCCCATCGCCAACGCTGCCTTCACCTCTTCCTTCCGCATCGGCGCTCTCCTCCCCTGGTCCCTCTCCTCCCTCTCCTCCCTTCCCGGCCTATCACGTTCCTCTCAACCACCCCCCTCTTCTGCCACCTCCGCCGCCTCCTCCGCTCCCTCCTCCTCTCCATCCCTCCCCCACTCTCTCATCAACGACCGTTTCTTCCTCGGCGGCCCCTCCTCCCTCCGTGGCTTTCAAGACCACGCAGTGGGGCCCACCGCTCCCCGCCCGGCCCCCTCCCGCGCACGCGACTTCCTGGGTGGCGATCTCTCCCTCTCCGCTACAACTGCCCTCTCGTTTGACTTGCCGTTCTTAAAGCCCCTGCAGCAGGCGGGCGTGCACGGGCACGTGTTTGCCTCGGCCGGTGCGCTGCTGCCCCTGCAGAGTGTGTCTGGTGCTGCTGGGAGAGCGTGGGGAGGGGGGAGTGTGGGAGGGGAAGGAGGAGGAACAGCGGGAGGGTCGGTAGGAGGAGGAGTGGGGAATCTGGCTGGGAGGGTGGTGGAGGTGACGAGGTCGGTGGGGAGGGAGGTGCTTGCTGCAATGAGGTGCACGGCGGGAGTGGGACTCGTGTGGCCCACGCTCATCGGTCGGCTGGAGGTGAGTTGGTTGGGCATTTGTTGATTGGACCCAAAGGTCATCTTGCTGCAATGGGGTGCATGGTGGAGTGCACAGCAGGAGTGGGACTTGTATTGCCCACCCTCATCGGTTGGCTGGAGGTGAGTTGGGTCTTTTCTTGGTCTCTTTCTTTCTGTCCACCTTGCTGTTGCTTCTCCATCCTGCCCCTGCCTCCCTTGTGTGCTTCTCTGCACCCGCCCGCCCATCCCGTTCTCCTTTGTACTTTAGTGCATTCTTTTCTGTGGTGCCTGGATTAACAAGCTTCCCACCTCACTGCTGGCTCTCCCTCCCTCCCTACTGTGCCCATGCCTTGCCATGCCACGCCATGCCATGCCACCCCACGCCACATCATACAGGCAAACTACTGTTTCATCCTGCGCAAGCACCCGCACGACGTTGCTGTGAAGCACGGCCTACAGGTTGGATTCAACGCTGCTCTCTAGCTGCGCACTGCGCACCGCTGCAATCCTATGCCAATCTTTGAGACCAAATCAATACCGTAGCATCCTATGCCAATCAATATCTCTTCAGTGCCACTCGTACCCACGCATACCCACTCATGCCACTCACACACACCTCCCTAAGCGGAACTGATGGGGGAAAAGGGAGACGAGGATTAGGTTTCCCTTCTTTTTGTCTGTCGAAGTACGGTAACTGCCTGCCCTGACCACATGGAGTTGTTGATGTTGGTTGGTTGGACAATGCGCCCCGTAACTTGTACCGGCATTCCTAATGTGATGTGGTATGCAATGCAATGCAACATTCTGGAACGGCTCGTAACCAGGCCTCTGGATAGGATTTGGGGTACTTTTTCTCGTAAGGCCAACACCCAGCTGTTACTCTTTCAGTAAGGGTGCTTCACAGAAACTGCTCTTAAAAATCAGTGTGCAAACAATTAAAACAAAATGTTGAAAATTTCAGCCGACCATACCATGCAGCGTGTTGGTATTGCAGTGTCTTGGGTCGTCATTGATATGTGGAGGACCCAAGTTCGATACCCATCGCGTACATCCGACGCGGGAAACGCGTTTTACTCAACCAATCTTAGCATCCTCTCTTAAATCGAACTCGATTTCATCAGTGCTACTACACCACATAGCTCTGAAATATCAGTGTCGTAAAATCTATCAGTTTTTTTTGTAAGGGTGCAAAAGAAAACCAGTCTTGTAAAAAAGGGTGCTTATTCAAACCCGCCCTTATAGTAAGGGTCATAAGGGTGAATCACCCTGATATCGAGAGGCCAGCTCGTAACCTATTGTTTATGACTTTAGTGCACGAAAGGGCTTCTTACAGATATATCGGCAGTGTATATTTTCCCGTACCTGGGGTTGTGGGTGGGTAGGAAGGAAAGTATGCTGGCATTGTCCTGTCCTCTAAAAGGTCTCAATTGAGAAAGCTTGCTCTCTGTTTCTTGCAAGGCAACGTGCTTCATTTCAATTGGGTAATTACAACATTCTCGTCCAACTAAAACAACACATAGAGATCAATTAGGGGCGGGTGGGGGGGAAGCGGAACTGTAAAGTTCCGAAATGAAGACGTGGGTGGAGGCCAAATGGCCTCCAACCCTCGTTATGTACTCGGAAATTTGCATTTGCAGTTGCCTTGCTTCACTACAGTCAGCTGCGCTTTCAAAATAATCATTTTTAGAAAGTGTTTCACACTTTCAAAAAATTTCATATTGAGAAAGCTTGCTTTCTGTTCCTTGCAAGGCAACGTGCTTCATTTCAATTGGGTCTTCTGAGACATGTGCGTCTGCGGACTATGTGGATAGTGGAGCCGGTTGATGGCGATGTCCAGTGAGATTGGCTGTCAATGACGGTCGTTGCACTCCACGTCGACGATGTTATGCGAGTTGCTCCTTCCTTGATGTAGATGTCTGTGTCAAACAATATGTTTAATATATACCCTGCGTGCTGTAGTTACTGTAGTTATTATTATTAAGAGTTGGTGGTGCACCTTCTTTGTTGCTTTGCTATATGTACCTTGTGTGCTATAGTGAAGCCCTCCTTCTTTCTCGTAACCCTCTTGGCACAACTCCCTCGACACCCCTTGGCCTAGGCTCCTAAGCCTAGGCCCTCCTAAACTCATACGTCCCTATCTTGACATGGTACAGAGCTAGTTCTTTCCCGGAACCTTCTCTTTTTTTTTAAAGAATCATGGGCCCGCCCGTACTACAGCGCGAAATGCGCTATTTTTTTTTTTTTCTCCCCGTTCGCCCGTCGCGCGCGCCCTGCCCGTCCCCCCGAACGTGCCACGTCGGCTGCCTCGCGGACGCCCCGTCGGCTGCCCCGCGGACGCCCTGCCCGTCGCCCGCTGCCCCCCCGTTTCGTCGCCACGCGGCCCCCATTTCGTCGCCACGCGGCCCCCGTTTCGTCGCCCCCGTCACCCCGCAATCCGCCAGCGCGGAGGCCAGCGCGGAGGCCAGCGCCGCGGCCAGCCGCCAGCGCCAGCAGCAGCTACCGCCGCCCCACCCCCCCCGCCCTCCCTTCCGCGGCTTCCGTCGTGGGGAGGGGGGAGGGAGGGGGAAGGGGTTGTGGGGAGGGGGCGGGTGTGAGGAGCCTGCCACTCCTCCCTCCCTTCCCTCTTCCTCTCTCCCTGCAGCAACTGTTGCTGTAGGGGGGGGGGGGGGGGGGAGAGAAGTGCAGAAGGGTGAGGGGGTGGCGGGAGAAGACAGGTGCGGAAGGTGTGAGGTTGACGGGGTTGAGTGACGAGGGGGGTGAGGACTAAGGGGTTCTTAACGGGGGGGGATCGCATTGAGCGTGCGCGCTCATGCCCGCCTAGCCCACCTCCTCTCCTCATCGGGACTTGGGGGTTCTTAACGGGGGGGGATCGCTATGAGCTTTCGCGCTCAAGCCCGCCTAGCCCACCTCCTCTCCCTTCCCTCTCTCACCTCCCCTTTGTAAAAGGAGGTTCGTAAGCGGGTCCGCCGGTCCTGGCCCCCCACCTCCTCTCCTCTCCTCTCCTCTCCTCTTCTCTCCTCTCCTCTCACCTTCCTCACTTCTCTGCCTTCTTCCACAGCGCTTGGTTTGCTCGTTCAGGGGGTGCTGGCTGCACCAGTTTCTACCGCACGCAGGCTAAGGGGGTGTGTCAAACAATATGTTTAATATATACCCTGCGTGCTGTAGTTACTGTAGTTATTATTATTAAGAGTTGGTGGTGCACCTTCTTTGTTGCTTTGCTATATGTACCTTGTGTGCTATAGTGAAGCCCTCCTTCTTTCTCGTAACCCTCTTGGCACAACTCCCTCGACACCCCTTGGCCTAGGCTCCTAAGCCTAGGCCCTCCTAAACTCATACGTCCCTATCTTGACAGTCTGTGCCGAGGGTTGTCGGTGGGGTGGAAGACTGTGGTTTGAAGTGATTTTTGTGCTGGAGCGAAAGGTGGAGAAGGTTGTTGTTGAAGACGGCCCATCTGTCATTCATTAAGTTGCCAGTGTTGCATGAAGACTGATGCCGCTATTTCCATGCTCTTTGCAGAATATTGAGGTATGGGGTCATTAGCTCATACAGTAGCAGTCGTGAAACTGGAGGTGACGGACCAAATTTTGAGGAAAGGGTACCATTTGGCTACGTCAATAACTGGTGCGGTGGTGGTGGGCTTGACATACAAAGCTAAACAACGTCGTAGCAGATATGTGCAATACGATAGATTGCAAATCTGTCCAGGGTGCATCATGACCTTGTATGAATGAAGGCGCGTCACAGATGAAGGCGCGTATTGAGTAACCTTTCATAGTTGCGATTCCACCCGTAAGCCATAGGAACGAAAGGGCCCAGAATCGTATATAATTGTGGTGGAGCGGCCGACTACGCCGACCAGAGCAGTACGGCATGCCTCGTTTGCAAGATTTGTGGATCCAACGAAATACTGGTTCGTAGGCATAATGTCGCATAACAATACGCATTGTAAGAGAGCTTGAGGAAATGCCTCCAATCGAGGGTTACTAGCCCTATCAATTGCTCATCTCTTGGCACATTGGTTGCTCATCGCTTGACCCATCGATTGCTCCTCGTCGACCCATCTGTTGCTCATCGCTCGGCGCGTCAGATGCCCATCTCTTGGCCCGTCGGTTGCCCGTCGCTCGGCCCGTCAGTTGCTCGTCTCTTGGCTGATCGATCGCTCATCCCTTTGCCGGTCAGCTCATCGCTTGGCCCGTTGGTCGCCCATCGCTTGACCCGTCAGTTGCTCATCGCTTGGCGCATCCGTTGCTCATCGCTTTGCCCATGAGTTGCTCATCTCTTGGCTTGTTGGTTCTCATCTCTTGGCCTGTCGGTTGCTCATCTCTTTGCCCTTCGGTTGCTCATCTCTTGGCCCATTAGTTGCTCATCTTTGGCCTGTTGGGTGCTCATCTCTTGGCCTGTTGGTTGCTCATCTTTTGGCCTGTTGGTTGCTCATCGCTTGGCCCGCCCGTTGCTCATTGCTTGCCCATTAGTTGCTCATCTCTTGGCCTGTTGGTTGCTCATGGCCTGTCGGTTGCTCATCTCTTTGCCCTTCAGTTGCCCATTAGTTGCTCATCTCTTGGCCTGTTGGTTGCTCATCACTTGGCCTATTGATTGCTCATCTCTTGGCCTGTCGGTTGCTCATCGCTTGGCCCGTCGGTTGCTCATCTCTTGGCCCCTCGGATGCTCATCTCTGACCGATGCCGTGTTATGACAACCAGACAAGAAAAGACAACAAGATATGCCTTGGCTGCCCTGCCACATTATGTTACGGCAGTCCCGTAGCTCCAAATATTGTTGAAGCGCGAACAATAACCGGTAATGGAATGCAAGGTACATTGAAATTTGGTAAATGTTTTACTTTCGCGTACGTATCCTGTCCGGTGTGACAGAACAAGATAGGAGTGAATAATGGTTGAAAAACACTCCCTCCCTCCCCTCCTCCCTTAGTTGTGTATGTTCAGTGTGGGTGGGGGAGTGATACAACCAATACCGTACGCGTCCTTGCTACAGGTAGTTTCACTCTACCAATCACCACAGTCAGTCAAATCACTAAATGTGGCTCCAACATCCTGTTGGGGCAAGGCAAGAGAAGCTCGTGATTTTTTTTTCACTATATTTATATCGTCAAACAATTAGCCAATGATACATACATATCAACAAACACATTACATAATTGGGGATTTCCACATCTCAACTTTAGTACGCACATCCCCCCTTTCTAAGAAGGTGGCTTCTCTGGCCAGCGTACCTTCGTAGGTACCTACACCCGGATCTTGGCCCCCTTTGCCCCATGGGAAACGAATCTCAGGCCAACTCGGGGACCCTCGGTCCCCTTCCCCCCCATGGGGGCGGCTCTCATGCCAAATTGGGGACCCTCGGTCCCCTTCCCCCCCTGGGGGACGGCTCTCAGGCCAACTTGGGGACCCTCGGTCCCCATTCCCCCCCCTGGGGGCGGCTCTCAGGCCAACTTGGGGACCCTCGGTCCCCTTCCCCCCCCGGGGGCGGCTCTCAGGCCGACTTGGGGACCCTCGGTCCCCTTCCCCCCCTGGGGGACGGCTCTCAGGCCGACTTGGGGACCCTCGGTCCCCATTCCCCCCCTGGGGGCGGCTCTCAGGCCAACTTGGGGACCCTCGGTCCCCATTCCCCCCCTGGGCCGGCTCTCAGGCCAACTTGGGGACCCTCGGTCCCCTTCCCCCCCTGAGGGCGGCTCTCAGGCCAACTTGGGGACCCTCGGTCCCCTTCCCCCCTGAGGGCGGCTCTCGGTCCCCTCGTTTCGATATGCGTGGAGTTGATCCCGTCGTCGTTGCAATTTTCCCGCGCGACTGGTGTCCCCCCTGGAGTCCGACTTCAATCAGCGGCTTTCCGTCTTGTGCCCGTTTTTCTGCCATGAGGGAGTATCGAGATTGATAGGCAATGAGAGAAGAAATTAGAGCTGGGGAAAAAAAAAAAAAAAAAAAAAAGAACTTTGCAACAATTTATATGCAGCTTAAACAATATATGAGGTGACATGGGGTGCTGCCCTGGTGGTTGACGCCCAGTACGCCTTAGGCGCTGCAGTGGCAGTTTCTTGACTGCCGCGCCACTGGCCATTTCGTCCGTGACGATTTCGCCACAGACGCGCGCCACTGGCGCCAGTGGCGATTTCGCCACACACGCGCGCCAGTGGCGCAAGTGGCGATTTCGCCACAAACGCACCAGTGGCGCAAGTGGCGATTTCGCCCTACACGCGCGCCAGTGGCGCGAGTGGCGATTTCGCCAGACACGCGCGCCACTGGCGCAAGTGACTATTTCGCCAAAATCTTACGCCACTGGCGCACGTGGCAATTTCGTCACTGATGCGCCAGTGGCCGTTGCTTCATGCGCAGCTCTTTCTCGGTTGTGCGCACGCCAGGTGCATCGCGGGCGCGATGCTGTACCCTCCGCAGTTAACGCGCATAGCAGCTACTAAGTTACGTTGCTGTTGCTGCACTTGTCCTAGCGTTGTCTCCGTAGTAATTAGGAATGAGAATGAGTGAGTGGAAACTAGGAATGGGTGAGAGGAGAGGTGGTTGGACGAGAATGAAGCGGAACTGTAAAGTTCCGAAATGAAGACGTGGGTGGAGGCCAAATGGCCTCCAACCCTCGTTATGTACTCGGAAATTTGCATTTGCAGTTGCCTTGCTTCACTACAGTCAGCTGCGCTTTCAAAATAATCATTTTTAGAAATCTTACGCCACTGGCGCACGTGGCAATTTCGTCACTGATGCGCCAGTGGCCGTTGCTTCATGCGCAGCTCTTTCTCGGTTGTGCGCACGCCAGGTGCATCGCGGGCGCGATGCTGTACCCTCCGCAGTTAACGCGCATAGCAGCTACTAAGTTACGTTGCTGTTGCTGCACTTGTCCTAGCGTTGTCTCCGTAGTAATTAGGAATGAGAATGAGTGAGTGGAAACTAGGAATGGGTGAGAGGAGAGGTGGTTGGACGAGAATGAAGCGGAACTGTAAAGTTCCGAAATGAAGACGTGGGTGGAGGCCAAATGGCCTCCAACCCTCGTTATGTACTCGGAAATTTGCATTTGCAGTTGCCTTGCTTCACTACAGTCAGCTGCGCTTTCAAAATAATCATTTTTAGAAAGTGTTTCACACTTTCAAAAAATTTCATCATTCAACTCCCACAACACGTTACATCGCGCGGAAGTATACGGTTGTAGATGTACAGTTTTTCCTGCTAGGTAATATTTATGACAACACCTCGTATTGCAGTTTCACTGCACCTCCAAGTGCTTTGCTTGGTCGCCAACGCAAGGGTTGAACATGGAAACTCGTGGCCATGTTATTATGTGAAAAAAGCCGCACAGAGCACAGCACATGTTAGGTTACAATTACCAGGACTGAGTACACATGTGGCAATGAGTGAAAGAAGACTGCTACACATACTCATGCGACACACATGGCAATAGAATGAATGGATTCGGCCGGGCCAGGCAGTTGCTGAGCGGAGAACATGGGGAAGCATACGGTACCGTATGCATTAACCTGCACACATGGAACGACATCAGTCAGAGGGATTGCGAGAGGTGTTCCATGAGTAATGGGGGCTGAGACGATTTTTGAGGTGCCTCAAAGATTGCGAGAGGTGTTCCATTGAGTCATGGGGGCTGAGAGGGCTCGAATGAGAGGAAAGTGCAATTAGTGGGAAGAAGTGAGTTGGGACGAGGCATTTAAGACGAGTGATTAGGTGTGGTGATAGGAGCAAGACAGAGCAACGCAGTGCATTGAAATGAGTGAGTTTGAACGAGTGCGTGCAGAGAAGAGGAGAGTTTGCCATGACGATTAACTTGCAGTGCACTACAGAGCAGGGCAGAGCAACACAGTGGGCCAAACACACACATTTCCTGGTCCCCGTCCCAATACAACACTGCTGCCACACACGCACTCTCCCTGTGCTTCTCCGCACTAACTTCCCAGTCAAGACTGGAAGCAAAGCACCAAGTAGTGAGCAGGCGATGCAGAAGCAAGGCATGGTGCCGTGCCGTGCCGTGCTTTTGAGATGTCCTTCGATTCAGTGCACGGGATGCAGAGGGATGGACGCACCTCAAGATGCTGTGCTGCACTCTCAAGTTGCTGGCAGGTGGTCAGGCGAAGTTGAATCGTCTGCTGTGCCTTCTGACTGTGATAGAGACTTTGCAACCGATGCCGACGGTAATGACGATGATGATGATGATGATGGTGATGAGGATAAGGATGTTGGTTCTGGTGGACCATCCAGCGATGCGAGGGGGTTGGTGTGGATGATGTGCTTAACGATGAAGACTGTAAGGGGTACAGCGACCAGCAGCCCCCACACGCCCATGGCATGCTCTGCTATGAGCAGCACTGCGAGTGTGAGGATGGGGTGCAGCTTCAGATGGGCTGATGGGACAGAGGAGGGGAGAGAAAGGAAGAGGGACAGGGGGAGGCAGCAGGAGGAGGGGAACATAGAGAGGCAGAGGGTGGGGAGAGGCAGGGTGAGGAGTGAAAGATTGTGATCCGACTATACTTGCAAGGCACAAAGGCCAAGAGATGGCTTGGCCTGACAGCAGCAGCCCCCACACGCCCATGGCATGCTCTGCTATGAGCAGCACTGCGAGTGCAAGGATGGGATGGAGCTTCAGATGTGCTGCATTGGGAAAGAGGGGGGCGAGAGGAACAAGAAGAAGAGAAGCAGTGGGAGGGGAAAGGAGGGTGAGCAGTGAAAGATTGCGATACGACTATGCTGACGAGGCACAGCGGCCAAGACAAGAGATGGCATGGCATGGCATGGCATGGCATGGCATGGCACCTGTAGGCCCCACACGGCAACGGCATGCTTTGATACGCGAGCAGCAGTGCGAATATGAGGATGAGATGGAGCTTCAAATGAGCTGCTGGGTCGGAGGAGGGTAGATGCAAAAGTCGGCCGGTGGAGGGGGGAGACAGGAAGATGCAGGGACAGCTACTTGCTGATCCCGCTCGAGGCAGTGCGGCAAATGAAAGGCAGCGTCAGGGAGTATGGGAACATGTAAGCATTGGAGCAAGGGAGCAGAGGAAGAAGGAAGATGGGAGAGGAGTCACCGACCGGAGTAGATGGCAGGGTTGAGGATGTATGCCTCGAGTGCATGCATGAGCACCACCATTAGCACCACCAGCACCACCAACACCAGCACCAATAGCAATATGTGAACCACTTTTGGAAATTTCCATAAGTGATTCATCGGAGGAGTGCAAATGGGAAGACGAGTCACCGACCGGAGTAGATGGCAGGGTTGAGAATGTATGCCTCAAGTGCATGCATGAGCACCACCATCAGCACCACCAGCACCACCAGCAATATCTATATTAATTCCTAGAATTCTCAAGAGTGAATCGTGGGAGCATGAGCACCATGTGAAAGATGGGAGAGGAGTCACCCACCGGAGTAGATGGCAGGGTTGAGGATGTACGCCTCGAGTGCATGCATGAGTACAACCATTAGCACCACCAGTACCACCTTCACCACCCCGCCCCTGCTCACATGCACAACACACATCATTCATGTTCGCACACAAGCGCATGCGCACAAACGCATGCACGCACACACACGCATGCATGGGCGCACATGCAGGCAGGGGTGGGTGCACAGCCATGCAGACAAATACATACACATACGCACGCACGAACGCACATAATTTCCTTGGAAGCTTTATCATCGCATCAAAGCAAGAGACATAGAAGCAGGTTCATCCAGGCCTGCTGTTTGTGAGGCGCATAATCTCTACAAACGGAGTGCGATTTGCAATCAAAGCGTTAACATACAAATTCACAAGCAGCCAGCCTCATTCACAGCCAGACTCATTCACAGCCAGACTCATTCACAGCCAGACCCACTCAGAGAGAGCAACAAGGCCCATGGGGACGGTGGAAATAACGACACCAGTGACGGGGGCGAAGGAGAAGACAAAGACGGCGGCTCTACGGCGCATAAGGCACGTCAGCCAGAAGGAATCAATCGGAAAGCCACTCACTCGGAGAGAGCGACGAGGCCCATGGGGACGGTGGAAATAACGACACCGGCGACAGGCACGAAGGAGAAGACAAAGACGACCGCGGAGAGCACGAGGAGGCCGTGGATGTTGAGCAGCATCATGCCCAGGAAGGTGAGCGCTGTGTTCACCACTGCTATCAGGCTCTGCGCCTCGAGTGCTCGGCAGAAGATGCGGCCAAAGGTTAGCACCTGGTGGGGGCGAGAGGGGGGAAGGGGGAGAAGGGAAAGGGGGAGGGTGGAGGAGGAACTTGGAAGGAGGAGAGGGGGAGGAGAGCGCGAAGAAGGAAGGCAGGGAGGCAGGCAGGCAGGCAGGAAAGGAGAGAGCGAAGGCGTACAACAGGTGCAACTCTGAGGTGATTCATGAGGTGCCTCAAAAAGAGCGAGGATGTAGAACGCGTGCAAGCTCGGCATAGATGGGGGCGAGTAGGGCAGGCAGGGAGGGAAGCAGGGAGGCAGGGAAGCAGCAAGGGAGGGAAGAGGGGAGGGAGCGAGGACGTTCTCCGTGCCGCATCGCCCCCTCCCTCCCTCCTTGCCTGCCTGCCTGCCCTACTCGCCCCCATCTATGACGAGCTCGCTCCCGTGGTACGCCCTCTCTTCCTCCCGTGGCAGGCGGGCAGGCAGGGAGGGAGGGGGCGATGCGGCACGGAGAAAGACAGGGAGCAAGAGGGACGGAGCGAGGGAGGGCGTAGCACGGGTGCAATCTCGTCATAGATGGGGGCAAAACGGGCAGGTAGGGAGGGAGGGAGGGAGGGAGGGAGGGAGGGAGGGAGGGAGGGAGGGAGGGAGGGAGGGAGGGGGGGGAGGGGGAGGGAGGGAGGGAGGGAGGGAGGGAGGGAGGGAGGGAGGGAGGGAGGGAGGGAGGGAGGGAGGGAGGGAGGGAGGGAGGGAGGGAGGGAGGGAGGGAGGGAGGGAGGGAGGGAGGGAGGGAGGGAGGGAGGGAGGGTGGGGGAGGAGGGAGGGAGGGAGGGAGGGAGGGAGGGAGGGAGGGAGGGAGGGGGGAGGGAGGGAGGGGAGGGAGGGAGGGAGGGAGGGAGGGAGGGAGGGAGGGAGGGAGGGAGGGCGTACCACAGGAGCGAGCTCATCGTAGATGGGGGCGAAGCGGGACGTCTGCAGCGACTGCATGCCACGGGCAAGCGAGGGCAGGTCCCACACGATCATGGCAGAGAGAATGAGACTCACGAGCGACTGTGCGTGTGGGGTTGGGCGGAAAAGGGTAAGGGGGGAGGGACGTCTGCAGTGAGTGCATGCCCACAGTGGGGCAAGCGAGGGAGGGCAGGTCCCACACGATCATGGCGGAAAGAATGAGACTCACGAGCGACTGCTCATGGGAGGGTGAGGAGGGAGGGGATGGGGGGTTGGGGAAGCAGCAGACGGGGCATGCAGAAGGTGGGGAGAGGGGAGGGGGCCTGCATGTCATTCCAACTATACAACAGACAGCCATCTAGAAAGTGGGGGGTAGCAAGTAAGGAATCAAAAGAGCAGAGAGCAGGGGGCAAAGAGCAGAGGTAAGAAGCAGCACCTTGAGGGGAAGCAGATAGTGGAAACGGCAGCAAGATGGATAGCACAGCAGATTCAGCAGCAGGAGGGCATAGGATGCACCTTGAGCAAAAAGCGACCGGTGGCAGCAAAGGCGGGGGTGGCGAGCAGAGACAGCATGCTGCCGGCCGTCGTACTTCTTGAACACCTGCCTCAGTGCAGCTGAGGGCTGCCCTGCCATTGCCACTGGCGCTCCCCCGGCTCCCTGTCAGGTGGTGGTGGAGTGTAATGCAGTAGAGTGGAGTGGAGTGGAGTGGAGTGGAGTGAGTGGAGTGGAGTGGAGTGGAGTGGAGTGGAGTGGAGTGGAGTGGAGTGGAGTGCAATGCAGGGCAGGGCAGGGGGGCAGGGCAGGGCAGAGCGGTTTGCAGTTGAAGTTGGCATAGGAGCAGGTGGCAACGCACCACGGAGGCTAGTTCCGGGGCGCCTCAAAACTAGACAACGTAACAAGAAGGAGTCATTTCTGAGAATTATAAATAAAATCCGAACCATGATGCCCTGGGTGGTTTTGAGTCGACTCATAAGGAGCAGGGGAGCAGGTGAGAACGTACCATGATGCCCTGGGTGGTTGGCGGTGACATCATGAGCAGCAAGTAGCGCTCCAACTGCTCCATTGCAGGGGGAGGGGGGGGAGGAGGGGGGGGAGGCAGGCGCGGCGGGGGGGGAAGGGGGGAGGGGGGGGGGGGGGGGGGGGAGGAACGGGGGGTGAGGGTGGAGGAGAAAGAGAGGAGGATTGCTTCGAGTACGGCCAAAAAAAAAAAAAAAAAAAAAAAAGCAAACAAAGAAAAAATAGAGCAGCATGTGACCCAACTGTACATCGCACCTCTAGCCGGGAAGGAAATAGAGGGGAAAAGGCAGGAAACAAAGGAGGAGAGGGTAGAAAGGAGGAGGAAGAAGAGGGGGAGGAGGGAAAAGAACGAGTGATGGAGGGAGGGGAAGAGAGTTGAGACAGTCAGAGAGAGAGGAGCGAAGCGAGGTATTTAGCTGGGTTCTAAAGTGCCCTGCGATGAGAGCAGCAGATAGATAGTGCATCAAGGGGCCTGGTGCATAAAAAAAGGGTTCTTAGCTGGGTTTTACAGTGCCCTGATATGCATCAACCACACCCACCACCCCATCCCTTCGTTCCTCATCCATCTCTCCCTTCCGCCACCCAAACCCCCTCCCATCCCATCCCTTCGTCCCTCCTTCCCTTCACCTGCTCTGTGAATGTGTCTCCGAACTCTGCTCGCATGCGCGTGGCTATCCATGAATATGCATCCTCCCCCTGGACACACGCACGCACAAGCGAACGCAGACACGCACCACCCACCCACATATATGCAATGCATGCACGCACACGTGTGCCAACAAATGCAGTCAGGAGCAGATGGGAGCAGACAGGTGGGAGAACTTTTAAGAACTTTGAAGATCTTTTAAGAAATGGGAGCAGAAAGTGGAAGGGAAGCACTGGGGGACGCAGCAACGAGGGGAGAGAAGAGGAGGAATGAGAGGTGGGCAGGGAGTTAAGGGATGCAGGAGATGTAGGGAAGAGGTAAACCTGACCAGAACCAGGAATGCTAAACCTTAAACCCTGGACGACTCTGGAAATATTGTTTCCTCTCCCATACATGCAATGTGATGTGAGAATTCAGAGCATAAAGCATACATAATTCAAGTCAAGTAGTTAAAACCCTGTATCTGGTGATACAAACTCTAACACCCAACTCAAACCCTGCCAAACCCCTGCCCGCCCGAAACCCTTCCCACCCCACAGCACCACAATGCACAGCGCAGCGCACCACCGCCTCACACCACGCCGCACCACACCACAGCACACCCCACCACACCGCACCGCACAGCACCCAACCTCCCACCTGGATGTTGAGAATGAGCTGCGTGGCGGTGTTGTAAAGTGGGGGCAGGTAGGCAAAGCCGAGGGCGAGGAGGGCAGCGAGGGCAAAGGCGTAGAGCAGCGCCACTAGCAGGCGGCGCTTGGCCGGCAGCACTCTCTGCGTTCCCTCCATGCTGCATTCGCCACCACGCTCAACACATATGTTCCCATCATTATCTGGTGCGAGGGGAGGAATGGACGGGGAGAATGAGGAGGGAGGAGGGAGATGAGGGTGGATAAAGGCAGAGGAGGAAACGCATGGTGATGATTAGACTGGCCGGCAGCACTCTCTGCGTTCCCTCCACTGCTGCATTCGCCACAACGCTCAACGTACGTGCCCATCAGTATGGACGGGGGGGGGGGGGGAGGGAAAAGACAGGAGGGCAGCGGAGGGAGGGGGTGAAGAAAGGGGCGCGGATGGAGTGCATTCGCCACGACGCTCAACACGTACGTGCCCATCAGTATGGACGGGGGGGGGAGGGGGAGGAGAGGGAGAGGAAGAGTGAAGGAGAAAGGAGGGAAAAAGGAGGAGGAAAAACGGAGGGTTTGTAAAGGGTTTATCAGAGTTATTCTGTCGATTTGCAGTCCATCACATGCATCGGCTCCCCACCCTAGCCGCACCTAAAAGGTAGAACAAGCACGAAGGAACTGACCCATCACAAGCACCCAACACTACGTGAACTGCCCCCCTGTTCTGACTATACCTCCCCCAAAGTCCCCTCCCCAGCTCGTCCCATGAGCTCACGCTTTCCCTCCCTCTCCCCATCCCACCCTCTCTCCCCGCCCTTGCCCCCTCCCCCTCCCTCCTCTCCCTCCGCCTCTCACACTCCCTCCCCCCCCTCTTCCTTCCTCCTCAACCCCCCTCCCCTTCGCTCCCTATCCGTCCGCCTCCTTCACTCTTCCTCCCCCCGCCCTCCCCTTCTCTCTGCCTCTCTCCTCCTCCCTTCAAATTCCCCCACCCGGACGTACCCCCAGGAACTCTCATAGCTGAATCACCAGCCCTGCCACTAAAGCTCACACAAGGCACTTCCGCAGCGGCAGCTGTTTTGAAAGTCGACACACAATAAAATACACCCTCCCCACCCCGGACGTACCCCCAGAAACTCTCGTAACTGGATGACCAGCCCTGCCACTAAAGCCCACACAAGGCACTTCCGCAGCGGCAGCTGCTGCAGCAGCCCCACCACTCCCCCATCCGCCGCTCCGCCTCTCGCCTCCGCGCCCTCCCCGCTCAGCTCGCCCCCGCCTCCTCTCCACGCCCACGATGCGCCTATCCCATTCCCCCCCACAGCTGCCGCTGTTGCTGCTGCTGCTGCTGCTGCCGCCTTTCAAGCGCCCGCCTGCCCCTTCCCCTCCCCCGCCTCCGCCCCCGCCTCCCCCGTCCGCGGAGATTAAGGCTGTAGCTGACGCGGCGGTAGCGGGCAATCCTCTCCGCCGATTCCCCACGCCCCCCCTGCCCGTTCTCGCCCTATCTGCTGCCGCTCTGCTATGAAAAGACCAGCTTCCGCTGCCGGATAAACTGCTCTGTAGGCTGCCGCGGGTAGAGAGGCTAGAAGCGGCAGCGAGAGCGGGCGGCGAGAGAGAAGCGCAGCTAGGTGGAAAGGAGGAAGAGGAGGGTGAGTAGGGTGAGTAGCATGAATACGGCGGGTATGATGAGTAAGGCGAGAAAAGTGGGAGAGAGGAGGAGGGGGAGGAGATGAAACAGGGAGTTGAGAAGAAGAGCATGCGAGGGCGGGGGAGGATGAGGAGGCGGTGGGGGTGGCGAGGGGGGAAGCAGCGGGGGGAGGAGGCGAGAGACAGGCGAGCATGGCGGGATCCGCGGTGTGCGCGCGTGACGCGGAGAGAGAGGCGGAGTGCTGATAGAGAGGGAGAATTGGGAGAGACGGAGAACGGAAGTGGGCGTGAGGGGAGAGTTTACGGAAGGTGAACTATAGAAACAATCTAAATGCGACAGGATAGAGAAGAATGGAGACAGAAGAGAATTGAGGTAGGGGGATGTCCGCGCGGATGGCGGGCTCGGCGCGCCTCGAGCATTGCAAGGCCGCGCAATTGACGAGAGTACGAGTCAAGATGGCGAGGAGGATGAGGGACGACAGTGATACACGGAGATACGCCACGGATATATTCTACGGAGATATGATTCGGCGGGGTATGTAACGGAGATTCGCGCCAACAGCACCAGATCAGCCTCACGAATTGTACGCATCGCACTCGAGGCCCCAGACATTGAAGTAAAAAAACAAGCGAATCATAGATGCACTGACCAATTACACGGATCCAAATTGATTGAGAAAAGAAACTGTCAATATGGATACCTCTGGTCCAGGTTTCGATGCTAAAACCCTGCTCGCTCGTTCATTTACCCTCTTGCAGAGTCATTGCGATTCTCCAACCTACCAATCGCAGCGTGCAAGATCTCGTGCCGCCCGTCGGAATCAATTGTCCGATCATCGCTGCCACTTAAATCGCGGTCGGTTAAGAGGCTCAGATTAATCAACAAACTGGACGGGCGGTCAGATCGCCAACCGTGAAAGCGCAGCGACGTGCCCGATGCCCCGATCCCTAATAGCGGGAGCAATTATGGCGCAGTACTAGCGCTGGGAAGGGAATGTGAGGGGCAATGCTGCTGCATGTGTTTCTGCTGTTGATTCTGTCTGGTGTTTCTCGGATCTACTTGGGCTGGTGTTAGCTGGCGGCGAGGCGATTGCGCAGCAGATAGCTCGTTGCTTCTGATCAGAAAAGCGAATGGATGAGATGAACGCGATTGGCGTTCGCGACGACCATCCCGACGAATAGCCACCGCCGTTGCCTCGAGAAACACCCTACACGAATTTGGCGAAGTTCAGTTACTAGCAGTCCCAAGGACAAGTGTATTTCTCCACCTCAGCATCATCTGCTTTGGGTTGGGCTGGCTCTTCCTCGAGTGTGCCGGGCATGTGGGCTAGGGATGAAGGGTTGGGTTCCGTGACGTGGCACGAGCTGACGGAGAGATGACGTTGACGATGACGGGGCAGGCGTCATCCAGTAGGGCCGTGGAGAACCACAACAGCCACCGTCAAATTTCGGCACCCAGTACGTGTCAGTCGTCCACTCCGCGAAAGCAGTCGGTTGGAGGTTTGCGTGAACCGCAAGCTAGTCTTCGGCTAAGGACGCGGTAAAAGTAGACGATCGATCGTCAGTCGCGATCGATCTGCGGCTCAGTTACTCTATTTACTACGTTGTAACTATGCTACAGCACGCTTTTGGCCAAAATTTCTCTGCAGTGTGTGAATGCGACTGATCACTGATCGCGGGTAATCTGTCAATTCTCAGCTGCGATCGTTACAACGTCGCGGTCGCCATGTTTCTCAAATCGATCTGCCCACTCGATCATGGGGTTCGATATGTGCACGATCCTGCGATATTTGCACTTTCAACACGTCCTATGCAGACAAGCGAGTCCGCCCGGCGGAGCTCGCTGCCCGCGGGCAAAAAAAATAAACCCCAGACGGGCATGCATCCGGTCAGGGATATTCCAACCAGCAACGATTTTTTAAATGCACCGATAGTGGGGGCTGGTCACGGTACGTTTAAAGCAGGTTTTAAAACGGTTTGGTGTATCCAGAAGATATACTCCTCACCTGTTAAAAAAATATTGTCAACGTTTTCTAACACGTTTCGTTATGCATTTTATGAAGGGCGCAGTTGTATCAATGTGTCTGACATTGTGTCATCACCCCTTGGTCTTTAATGTCCGTCTTCCGAGCCTCATTTTCCCTGAAGCCCAAACCAGTTTGGGTCTTCCTGACTTCCATTTGCGCTCGGCCTGATGTCAAAGACGATGAGATAGAAGTGCACCCTAATTCCTAGTTACAGTTGACTAGATGCTCGAAGTACCACACTGTCCCCAGCCAATGAAGCTATTTACATGGCAATGGATGCACAGATGCACAAGCAGTCTGCCAGTTAATCCCAGCAACCAGTACACTACTGCCATGCAACTGGCGAAGTACCTAATGGGGTAAATTACCCATGCCTATGGCAAAACGCCCGGTACGGTAATCAGCCACAATGCCACATTATCCTCAAGACCCAAGGAGAATGATCAAGCCTCGGTGCTACTCCCTTCTTCCCACACTCCCCCTTCTCGTCTCCATTACCCTTTTCTGCCTCTCATCTTTTCATGCCCCCCTTCATCTTCCACCCAACTTCCCTTGTTAGGCACGTATCTATCCCACTCTTTATCCTACCCTCTTCCTTCTCAATTCCCTCACCATATAGGCACCAGTCCTTGCCACGTCACCTCCCCCCAACTTCCTGTCCCCCAACCTGACCCACTTCCTCCTTTCGCCAATCACCCAGTCCTGCCGTTCCTCGTCTCCCTTGAATGCAGCTGTCGACTGCAACAGTCAGTTAAAGCGACTGCCGGCTACAACTGTCACTACAGCCACGAGCCACAGCTGTGAGCCACAGCCATGAGCCACAGCCGTAAGCTAAAGCTGCTGGATGTAGAGTGCTTCCTGCTTGCTTGTGATGCCCAGATCTGCCAGGGTTGCGTGTGCCTCTGCTGGCTCAAACACACGGCGTGGATACTGCCGTGCCTGCAGTGGGGAGAGAGGCGAGAGGGAAGCAGGTGGAGAGACGGGGAGAGAAGGTAGGGAGAAGGCGGAGAGAGGGAGAGAGGGAGGAGAGAGGGAGGAGAGAGGGAAGAGAGAGGGAGACTTGAGGGTGGAAAGAGGCTACACAAGGATCTTCAATAACCACGTAGAATATGGAACAGAGTGACTTAGAGTGTAATGTAGGACATGTGTGCGTCGCACGAGCAGAAGAGAGTGTGATGTAGCACGTGAGTGAGTGAGTGAAGGCTTACGATGGTGTAAGTGTTGGGCTTGACTCGCCTGCTCACATCCACATAGTCAAAGAGCGCCTGCTCGCATGGTAGAAGCAGGGAAGAAGAGGGATGGAGAGAGAGGGGGAGAGAGGGGGGAAAAAAAAGAAACGCCTAAGTCGAGGAAACGCCATAGATGCTGCCTAAGTAACATAACCACCAGCAATCCCTTCACCTCACCTGTAGTGCACTACAGAGAGGAAATTGCCCCATATGCTGGCTGACTGCCATCAATCACTCACCGTCAATTCAAATGTGAGAGGCGCAAGCGGTCTACCAAACGACTTCTGAAGCGCAACTTGAGGCAAGTATTCAAGGGCCCAACAGTTCCTTCACCTCTAGCGTATTCGAGATGAGGAATCGGCGGCTAAGGCGGGAGCCGTCTGGCAGGCGCAGCATGAGAGTGATTGCGCCCTCCTCCCCTGCTGCTGGCTCCACAGGCAGTGCCGCCTCTTTTGCTGCCAGCTGCCGCTGCGCCTCCTGAAACACACAAACGGGTGAGATATGAGAGAAGACAGAGAGCGCAAAACAGGTGGATTTGAAAAGAGAGATCTCTCTCTCTCTCTCTCTCTCTCTCTATCTCTCTCTCTCTCTCTCTCTCTCTCTCTCTCTCTCTCTCTCTCTCTCTCTCTCTCTCTCTCACTCTCTCTCTCTCTCTCTTGGGAATTCCCAAATGCTGTTGTCTCCACAGACAGCGCCGCCACTTTCAACGCCAGCTGCCGCTGCTCCTACTGATGCGCATGGGCGGGAGGGATACGAGAGACAGAGGGTGCAGAAACAGGTGAATTCGACAAAAAACATAAAAAAATATTGGGAATTCCCAAATGCTGCTGTCTCCACAGACAGTGACGCCTCGTTTAGTGCCCGCCACAGCAGTGCCAGCTGCAGCTGCTCCTCCTAGCAACGGTAGGAATACGGCAGAGGGTGTGTGACGAGCAGACCTGTAGACGAAATCGAGTGTGTCGTTGAGAGCAAGCCGCTCGCTACATGTGCGAGTTGACTTTTGAGTCGATGTGTGCGATTTAACTTTTGAGTCGACTCAAAAGTCAGATCAGCAGAAGAAATCAAGTGTGTCGTTAAGGGCAAGCCGCACGTTATCTGTGCCTTCAGTCCCGGCCTGCTTGCTACTACTGAGTACAACAAACCAAGAGAGGAAAGGCAAAGGAAAGCAAGAGAGAATCTGGACGGCTTTCACTACCCAATACGGCTTTTCTTGGAGCGCGCTTGCATGTACGAGCAGTTGTGGGAAGGAAATTAAACGGGAGGAGCCGGAATTCTAAGCCTGAAACTGCAGCCCATCAGCCTTGCCAGCCGTTGAAAGCATGACACACAGGCAGGCGTAATCATCACCGTCCCCCTCACCTCCTCCTGCTCCCTCTGCCGCCTCAGCCCGTCCTGCCGCTCCTGCTCCTGGTTGGAATCAGTTGGTTTCGATCCGCAGCAAGCCTACTAAGAGTTCCCGAATGGTCTTTAGTACTAATTCTACTCCTCTGAAAAGGCAAGGGAAGCCGTAAGCAAGCTCTTTTAGTCAGAATGCCAGACACAATAGCTCCCGGATGTCGCGTGCGAACGCGTTTCGGTCAGCTAAGGCCTTCATCAGCTCACCTCCTCCTGCTCCCTCTGCCGCCTCAGCTCGTCCTGCCGCTCCTGCTCCTCCTGCTGCCGCCTCTGCCGCTCCTCCTCCTCCTTCCTCCGCGCTGCCTCCTCCTTCTCCTGGTCGGCTATCAGCGACTTGAAATACTCCTCGTCCTGATCACAGAATGAGGCAGGGGAGGCAGAGCACGTGGGGGGGTACGAAAGGGGATGTCTCAATAAAGGGAAAGTATCAATACACTTTAAAACCACACTCCTCTCCTCCTTCTCCTGGTCGGCTATCAGCGACTTGAAATACTCCTCGTCCTGCCCACAGAATGGGGGCACAGCAAGTGGGAGGGTACCGAAGGGAATGTCTCAATAAAAGCACTCTATCACCACACTCCATCCCTGATTCACCCTCACCTCCCACTCCACGTCTCTGCTCCCCATCTGTCCCGCCCTCACACTCTCACCTGCTCCTGCCTCAGCAGCCTCTCTTCAAGCATGCGTGGCAACGGCGGCCGCACCTCTTTCCTCACCCACCCGCCTCTTTTTCCCACCTCTCCCCTCACCCTCCCTCCCTCTCCCTCACCCTCCCTCGCCCTACCTCACCCTCCCTCCCCCTCTCTCACCTGTTCCTGCCGCAGCAGCCTCTCCTCCAGCATGCGAGGTGACGGCGGCCGCGCTGCCTGCTGCTGCTGCCTCCGCTGCTGCCTCCTCCACTCCCTCGCCCACTGCCCCAACCCCTCCTCATCCTCCTCCTCCTCCTCCTCCTCCCGCCCCTGCTCCTCCCCCTCACCCTCCCCCTCTTCACCACCCCCACGCCCTCCCCGCCCATACCTCCCTCCCAAACCCACGCCTCCCATCGAACCTCCCGCCCCCGTCTCTCCTAACCCTCCTCCGAATTGCCGCCAAGAGTGGGGTCTACGGGGAAGACCAAGGGAGGAAGAACCACTGCCACCACCAGACAGATACGCAGAACCGTACGGTGCGCCGGCAGCAGCAGCGGCCGCTGCAGCAGTTGAAGCGTCGGCGGCAAAAGCAGCAGAGGCGGAGAGAGACGGGTGCATGGGAGCGCCTGTAGCGCCAGCACCGGCGGCGGCGGGCAGCGGCAGCAAGGGCCGGGTCGTGGTCTGGGAGGGGGGTTCCGAACATGATTGCTTCCATGATCCGTGCCTCCTCCTGCTCTGCGTGTGATAGACCCTGCATATGTGGTGGAGAGAAAGTATGATTTGAATTGAGGGCATGGAGGAGATAGGGTCGTGGTCTGGGAGGGGGGTTCCGAACAAGATTTCTTCCATGATCCGTGCCTTCTCCTGCTCTGCGTGTTATAGACCCTGCATATGTGTATGGCATGGAGGAAGGCATACATTGAATTGAGGGAACGGAGGGGATATGGTCATGGTCTGGAAGGGGAGTTCCGATCCAAATAGAATTGCTTCCATCATTTGTGCCTCCTCTTGCTCTGCGTGTGATAGACCCTGTAGAGATGGATTGAGCGATCAAAGGCACAGAGAGGAGGAGGGCAGGACTTGTGAAATGTCCCTGATCAGATCAGATCAGAGGAAGGACTTGTGAAATGTCTCAGATCAGATCAGATCAGAGGAAGGACTTGTGAAATGTCTCAGATCAGATCAGAGGAAGGACTTGTGAAATGTCTCAGATCAGATCAGAGGAAGGACTTGTGAAATGCCTCAGATCAGATCAGAGGAAGGACTTGTGAAATGCCTCAGATCAGATCAGAGGAAGGACTTGTGAAATGCCTCAGATCAGATCAGAGGAAGGACTTGTGAAATGCCTCAGATCAGATCAGAGGAAGGACTTGTGAAATGCCTCAGATCAGATCAGAGGAAGGACTTGTGAAATGCCTCAGGTCAGATCAGAGGAAGGACTTGTGAAATGCCTCAGATCAGATCAGAGGAAGGACTTGTGAAATGCCTCAGATCAGATCAGATCAGGGGAAGGACTTGTGAAATGCCTCAGATCGGGGTTGGCTGTTGGGGGCGGAGGGAGACGGACATTTGAGTCCAAACTTAACCGTTTTTCACGGCACGCATGGAACAAGCACGGTCCCTTCTGTGCTTCCATGATATCTGAGAGACACATGCCTCTTCCTGCCTGCAATGCATGGAACAAACCCCGCACGTGTGAAGTGAGTGAGGTGAACTGTCGCGTGACATTATATCCAGGTGACTTTTGAGTCGACTCAAAAATCTACCCCGCACATGTGAAGTGAGTGAGGTGAACTTTAAGTAAAAAAACCCACTGGCGCACTGACTGACACGACGACATGCTGAGCCTGACACTTGCATTCACTCACCCCCAAATCATCATGAGCAGCACCGAGAGCTGCACCGGCACCATCATCACCAGCACCATTCGCAGCAGCAGCCGTTTCAGCAGCAGTCGCCTCGTCAACCGCCCGCATCACTGCTGCTACCTCCTCCGCACTCATCCCATTCTCATCCATCCCACCTGCCGCCCCACCATCTCCCCCACCCACCATCCCAGCCCTTGTTCCCTCCATACCCTCCCCTTCCGCCGCTGCTGCTGCTGCTGCAGCTTCACCTTCCAAAACCCGGGAACTCCCACCACGCTTCCCGCTTCGCCATGCATCCACTGCTGCTGCTGCTGCTGCGTCTCCTGCCCCGCCTTCTCCTGCTGCTTCTGCAGCTGCAGGTGCTGCTGCCGAGAGGGTGTGATTAAGCTCAGGGTAAAATGCTGATTGGTCGGATTGCCATGGCGACTTGAACTTACCCCTGCCACTGCCATACCCGCTTCCACTCCCAACCCCGCTGCTAAACCTGCCAGCAGCACCAGCAGCACCAGCAGCACCAGCAGCTGCTGCGCCTGATCGTCCCTCACCCGCCTCTCTGCCCCCTCCCCCTCTCCCTCCCCCACCTCCGTCTGTAGGGTGGTATGGATGATACACGCGTCGCCGCATAAGCGGCTGTACCTGCTCCTCTTCTTCTTCTTCTTCTTCCTCCTCCTCGTACCCACCACCACCACCACCACCACTACCCCGATTGCCCTGGGTTGAATATCGTGTCACATGCGGCCAGGAAGGAAATGCTCCCGTTTCTGCTCCTGCTCCCGCTCCTGCCACTGTTGTTGGTGGCGGTGCCAGTGGTACTGGTGCGGTTTCAGGAAACCCCGTTTCAGCAAACGGGGGCTGGAGCAAAGCGGTGGGGGCCTGCCCTCTCAACGCTGCTTCTTCCTCGGCCGTCTGCACCAAGGGGGGTTTGGCAGGAGGGGAGGGTGAGGGGAAGGAGATAATGGGAGGGAGATATGCTGTTAAAACGAGTTAACCACAGCTACTCTTCAAAGCTCGTGCAAGACATCGCAAACACAGCAAAAACTAACAAAGGCCCCAACACCAAACCTTAAACCCTAAACACGGCCCCACGGACTACACTGATGGACAGGCAGCGGGCATACGCATACCTTGATGGAAAGTGCGATAGCCCGCATGACATCGTCATCCTCGTCCTGATCAACATCCATGGGTGCTGCTGCTGACGCAGGGGCCTGCCATGCCATGCAGGTGCGGTGCGGTGAATGGGAAACGCGGTACAAGGTGGAAGACTTTAGAGTCGACAAACAAAGCATGACAACGTGACCCTTGTCCTGATTTATATGTGTGGGTGCTGCTGCTGACGCAGGGGCCTGCCACACATGGGCATGAGTCAAAACAAGCGAGACTGGAGTTATGGTTTGGAGTCGGCTGTTTCCGGGACAAGGTGAGGAGGAGGAGGATGAGGAGGAGGAGGAAGAGGAGGAGGAGGAGGAGGAGGAGGAGGAGGGGGAGGAGGAGGAGGAGGAGGAGGAGGAGGAGGAGAAGGAGGAGGAGGAGGAGGAGGAGGAGGAGGAGGAGGAGGAGGAGGAGGAGGAGGAGGAGGAGGAGGAGGAGGAAGAGGAGGAAGAGGAGGAAGAGGAGGAAGAGGCAGGGATTGAATGGAGTGGAGGCTGGTGAGAGCATGGGAGCGGCAAGCAGACCAAAGAGTAGCGAGCGGGTAAAGGTTTTGCACTTGACCACACAAGACTCTCTAACCCCAAGCAAGCCTTCACGCGACCCAATACGCCCATCCACGCCCTCCCACGCCCACCCACGCCCACCCACGCCCAACCACGCCCAACCACGCCCTCCCACGCCCACCCACGCCCACCCACGCCCACTCACGCCTCTCCACACAACCCCAACATGCCCCGAGACGCACCCACAAGAGGGCGAGAGACACTTACCATGCTTCCGTGTCCTGCTTCCTCTGCCTCTCCAGCAAACCCTCCCCCTGCTGCTCCTCCCATCCCTGCTCCCCCTCCTGCTCCTACTGCCTCGTTTACTCCCGGCTCCTGAACGAATGCCCGCCCCCTTGCCCACTCCCCTCCCGTCACACCTTCACCCACGCCCCCCACCCCTCGCCCCACTCCCTCAGCACCTGCGCCCTCACCAAACGCACCGGCACCACCACCAGCACCATCATCACCATCCTCCACCTCTTCAATACGCACTCCACCACTCTGATTCCATTGCTGCAGCTCCTGCTGCTGCTGAGAAGCAAACCCAAACGGTCCAGACCCAGCTCTCCTCCCATACCCTCTGTCAAAAGCCTCATCAAAACCAACCCCCCTACCCTCCCCAAAACCCTGACCCCCTCCTAAACCCCTCTGGCCGCCTCCACTCGTGTACCCCCTGCCGCCAGCACTGCCGTTACCGTTACTGGCAGCGTCGTCCCACTGGATCGGGATCTCCCGAACCTCCCGAGGCTCGGAGATAATAGGTCCGGAGGAGGGAGCGCGAGCGGTCACAGGGGCACGAGAGGTGCGCATGAGGCGATCAAAAGCAGTGCCTGTCATGAAAGGGCGCACAGGGTTCAGGTTCTCATACTCCTCCTCCTGCGCCTGCTCCTGCTGCTGCTGCTGCATCCCTGCTATCCCTGCGATTCCTGGTGCCCCTCCTATGTGCTCTCCTCCCAGGGGCTGCTCGTGGAAGGTGCGAGGGCGTGTGGTGGCGGCAGCAGGAGGAGGCTCACTGGTAAGATCGATGGCATCGGTGATTCTGAAAGAAAGGAGATGCGGGGAGGAAGGTAGCGGGGGGTTGGTTGGAGAGGAGGGACGACGTAATATAGGTAGCTATCAGGGTTTCCTTCAGATTTTAAAAGGAACTTGACTTGAATGTCAAGACACATAAAGAAACGACAGTACAGAGATTTTGAATCCTAGATGCATGATGAAATGATGCAAGGGTGCATGAATGGATGGTTAGATGGATGCATGGATGGATACATGCATGGGTGCGCGCATGCATCATGCATGTATGCATGATGCACATAGAATGAAGAAGCCAAGTCCACGAGCATGTGTGCGATGAACAGGAAAGACACACGCATGCTCACGAGTTGACTCATGAGTTGACGCATGAGTTGACACTCAACCAAACTGCCTGGTAATATGCTCCTCCTCAGTGCAATTGGAAATCACATGGACGAAAGTATGCTTGCAGGAGAAACATGCACTTGCGCAAATTACAGACGCATGGATGCAAAGCAAGGTTACAGACGCGCACACGCATGCACACGATGTTTCTTCGACGCTCAAAAGCATGTGCATGTCTGCAGCTACAGCATGTGCTGTGCATGTCCGCAGCTACAGCACACGCAAACAGGTAGATCGTGGATTTCAACCGGTGCTAGCACCCACCCTAAGCGTGAGATGATTTTTAGGGCAGGCTGGTTCACATCACACACATGCACCACACACACACACAAAAAAGAGATGGCTGGGCCATATAAGCGAGCAGCAGAAACAGAGTAAGGGATCGACACCACGAGGTGAAGAGACTTACCCGTTCCCAAGGCCTCCACCCTCATCCCCTCCATGCTCCAGAAAGAAATTCACTGCCAACTGCAGATCCCAATTATGCGCCTGTAGGGAGGCAGCGCGTAAAGGGGAGAAACAGAAACGGGAAACACGGGACATGCCAGATGAAGAGTGGGAACGCGGGGTCGAAGGTCGGGATTGACTTAAGGAGCGAGGATGGATGGAGGGTTGAGGAGCGAGGATGGATGGAGGGCGGAGTAGAACGTTAGGCGATGGGAGGATCGGGTGTTCAAAAAGAGGAAGACGAGGCGATGGGAACGGGGGTGCGGGATATGAGACATGTACGTGCGAGAAGAAGAAGTGGAAGGGAACGGAAGGGGGGAAAGAGGGAAGGGAGAGACGGATGAGAGGGATGAGAGGGATGAGACAGACGAGACGGACGAGAGGGATGAGAGGGACGGGGTGACGAAGGCAAAAAGTGGGAGGTGATGGGAGCACCTCAACGTATTTCCGTGTTGCGGCTGGCCGTTTGTTTCAAGAAATCTAAAAATAAAAAGAAGGTTCCCAAGGAAAGAGCGGAAAGGAGCACCTCAAGGTATTGCCGCGCGACGCGTTCCGGCTGGGCCGTGATAGCGACGAATTCCGCCACAATCTCCGGGCTCTCCATCTCCCGCTGCGACCGCGGCGACGCTTACGACGCAATCGACGACGCTGGCGACGCGATCGGCGATGCTGGATGCAAATTCCGCGATAAAAGCGACGACGATGGATGAAGATTGGCGAAAATTCAAGCTGATCGCACGAACGGCGAATCAGGCACGGATGAGTGGAGTAGGAGAGAGCAACGAGAGCAAAGAGAACAACGAGAGCACGGAGTCTGAGATCCTATCGCTCGATACGCCAAGCCACACGTGTGACAGCACTTTAGATCTGAAGCGCGAGCAGCAGCGAAGCAGCGAGGCTGCGATACAACGACGCAGTCATGTAACTATGTAACTATGATGCAGCGACGCCAGCCCGCGTGACGACACGCGAAAACAGAGAGCAATTAGCGCAGGACAGAGAGGTCAGGAAGAGATGTTGGAAACGTGATGATGATCAACAACACTAGCCGTTGCTTCCACAATCGCAAGCCCGCAAAGCTATGCTGGAAAGAGCAGACTTCAAGTCTGAAGTTGTTGAGGAAAGAGCATGAGAGCATAGAACACGAGCGCAAGGTGCAGGTGGAAAAAACGGGTGGAGGTGGTGGTGAAGGTGAAGGGAATGAGAGCAGGTGCAGTGCGGTTGCATGAGCAGAAGTTGCGTTGTCGCATGGAAGGCAATTGTGGTTGGCGGTGGGCCAATTGATACACGCAACGTGCACTTGCATGGTTCATTGTTCTCCTCCTCGTCTTCGCCTTCCTCGCTCACCTAGTTGCGTGGTTGCTTCGGCCCAGTTCGACAGCGAGGGTGACCCATGCCTAAAATCATTGAGGTGACCTTGTTCCTTGGGCGGGAAACGGTTTGCGACTCTTGCTACCCCCATGCGATGAGTGAAAATTCCCGCCAGCGCGAACGATCCCCCTGCGATGAGACGAGTTTCCCGCCCTCGCGAACGACCCCCCCTGCGATGAGACAAATTTCTCGCCTAGCCGGGAAAACAAGGCGGGAAGTTCAACCAGAGCATTTGACACCACAGCGCGCCCTAACAGTAACTCCCGATGTAATGATTACAAATTTTATGGGGCAAATCCACAGACGGTCTCCAAATGGTTGCTGCTCCTGCTTTTCAAGTAAGCCACTTCAATGGGTCTTGAAGCAGGGTTGGAAAATGTTTTCCCTGCCCATTGGAAGGGTCAAAAAAAGGGTTGCTGACATGCCAATTCCCTATAACACACATCATATGGGTATCACCGAAATGAACCACGCGGAAAGTTTTTCAGCTGTACTTTTCTGGTCGCGGAATTTTTCAGGACGCAGACCGTGAAAACTCGTCCCGCTTCAATAAAGCGTTGAGGTTCAGATATTATACATTTTCCCTCCATTTTCGTTGCAGGCAATGACGTGGCACCAATAATTACATTGCAGTCGCTCTTTCCCTTGTAATTTGTCCTTTTTGTGCGACACTCCAAATGGTTGCCTGAAACCAAATGGTTGCCTGGTAAGCAACCATTTCCTATCGAACAGGGCCTTCAGTTGGCTGTTCCCTCGAGCTTGTCGCACCGTTCTGCTGAAGGCACGAACACTCAAGTGAATACACATTTCAGCAAGCTTCGCTATAAACAGCTACAGAGGGTTTGCAAGGGTTTCGAATAAGGATGTGTTTGATGATATGCATAATCAAGACGTCTCCATTTGCAATGTCACGAATGTAAGCCAGGCATAATATGATCACGCTTTGGAAAACCATAAACTACACAACTCTAACAACGATTGGGAAAATCGCTAGGACATGTATAACCAACCAAGCACAGTTTCACGAATACTACCGTGGATCATGCAAGAAATTAGCTCAGACAGATGCTTTCTTTCCTAGTGCAAAACACCCACAACAGATCCTTCCATCACAAATTGTTCCTCGCGCGAAAATCACCGCTGCCACCTGTCATACTTGTTACCGTCTTCCGACTGGCCTCCGTACTGACCCAAAGGGACGTGCGTTGTATACCCACCACCAAGCGCACCACTTGCACCCTCTCCTCCTCCGGCCGCCTCCTGCCTCCCTCACCTCCACGACCCATAACCCCTGCTGCCTGTGCTGCTTGCGCCACATGCCATGATTCTGGAGCTCCATGGGTGTGCTGCTGCGGTCCCGGAAATTGCTGGCCGCTGTGCTGTGCCAGGCGCTGTGCCGGTTGCTGCAGCAACTGGTTCGGCAAAGGCTGGTTCGGCAATGAACTGCCCAGGAGACGAGGTTCGGGCGAGGTCGGGGGTTGGGAAAAGCGCGCAGGTTGGGATGGTGCGAGGCTAGGTTGTTGGTGGTATGATGGAAGTGGTGGGTAGGAGTGAGGCAGTCCTGGTTGTATTGTGTTGTGAGGGTTGGGAGTGGGCATGTGCTGGGCTGAGGGGTTTGGCTGCTGATGCTGTGGCTGTCGCTGGAGTGGTGGTTGCAGCCCTTGCTGCTGCTGCTGCTGCTGCTGCTGCTGCTGCTGCTGATGGTGGTGCTGCTGTTGCTGTTGTCGCTGTTGTTGTTGCACCTGTTGCTGTTGCTGTTGCTGCATGTGCTGCTGCTGTTGGTGCGGTTGCTGCTGCTGGGTGTCTTGCTGTTGTCGTTGCTGAGAATAGTTCACCCCTCTCCCTCGCCCTCCTCTCCCTCCCCTTGATCCCCTCCCACCTCGCCCTCTCCCTCCCTCCCCGCTACCAGTCCCACTCCCACCATACCCCCCTCGACTCAGCTTCTGCTGCTGCTGCCCTGAAGCTTGCACAGGCACACCCACTGAACCCCGAGCCGGCACCTGAGCACCCTGGAATCCCACCTGAGGCATCTGAAGGCCCACCTGAGGCATTTGAAGTGCCCCTGGGGACACCTGAAGTCCCACCTGAGGCGTTGCCCCCTGCTGCCCACCCACACCAGCAGCCCTCTGCATGGCCCCTCCTGCTACTCCTCCTCCTCCTCCTCCTCCCTCTCCCTCCACCTCCTCCCCCTCCTCTGCCGCCTCCTCCTCCGCCTCCTCGCCCTCCTCCCACTCCGTCAGGCATACCAGAAGCACTTGTAGGTGCCACTCGAAACAGCGCTGGTGGTAGAGAGAGTAGCCTGGGCACAGCAGTACCACCCCCACCCCCACTGCCACTGCCACCCCCACTGCCACCCCCACTGCCACCCCCACCACCACTGCCACCACCACTACCACCACCACTGCCACCACCACTGCCACCACCACTACCACCACCACTACCAGTATTTCCCGCCACCGTATTCCCAGGAGGGCCCCTGCCCTCCGCTGTCCCTCCCCCCCTTGCCTCCCCACCCCCCTGTGCTCCCCCGCTCGCTTGAGCGCCCCCACCGATTCCCGTAGCGGCCATAACAGCCCCTAAACGCGCACCTAGCCCTGCAAGCTGCGGCTGAGATGCATGGGCTGGAGCGGAAGCCTGGGATGGGTGGGCAGAGTGCGGCGGACGAGAAGGAACCGAAGGGATCTGGCCTAAGGGCCTTGGGCCGGAGGAGGGGAGCACGGCAGCAGAAGGTGCAGGGGGAGAGAGGAGGAGGAGGGGGGGGTTGCGGCGGGTAAACGTAGGGCTGCGTTGCTCTTTATTGCTCCAGCTGCTGCTGCTGCTGTTGCTGGAGCCGGGGCAGCGCTGCTGAGGCGAGCAAAACGACGCGGGTCCCGGGGGTTGGGAGGGTGGAGAAGAGGTGCAGAGGGTTGGAATGCGGCTGAAGCTGCTGCTGCTGGCGGGGCTGGGGAGACAGCAGTAGGAGGAGCGGTGGGAGGGAGAGGAGGAAGAGGAGCGGGAGTGTCAGCATCAGCTGGGAGGTTCAGGTCCATCTCAAGAGGATGGCGGGACGCAGTTGGTTGCGCTGCTGCTGCTGCTGCTGCTGGTGCAGCTTCAGCCCCATTGTCTCTGCTGTCTTCCCTGACAGGCTCATCTGCTGCCCAGTTCAAATCCAGCTCCATTCCAGCCTTGGGAACGCCTTGTGTACTGCTGCTGTTACCGCCAACACCACCAGCGCCACCGCTGATGTTCTCGTTAGTAGTAGTGGCGGTGGTGGTGGTGGGGCTGCTGCTGCTGTCATTCTTGTCGTCAGCGCTCCCTCCCGATTCCACCAACCATAGCCTGTTCACCCCTCCTCCCTGCTGACTCTGCAAGCCTTGCTGGGCTTGATTCCCCTGCCCTCCTGCTGCCCCTCCTTGCTGCTCACTCCTTTGCTGCTGCTGCTGCTGCTGCTGCATCTGCTGCATTTGCTGCATATGCGGCTGCATATTCTGCTCCACATCCAAAGCAGCATCAGGCGGGCTTGCATTTAGGTCTGCCACAGGTGCCCGAGCCACGCCCATACCTCCCGCCCCTCTCGCACCCACACCCATTCCTCCTCTCCCTCTACCTGCCCCTGCCCTGCCTCTCCCCACACCCTCCCTGCCTCTCCCTGTGCCCTCCCGGCCTACGCCCCTTCCCCCGCGTCCTCTCCCGCCCCTCCCTTCCACACCTGCTGCTCCTCCTGCTGTTACTGCTCCTACAACACTACCTCTTCCCCTGCCTGCCCCCCCACTGAACCGCTTAAAGCTGCATTACCCAGACCACTACCAGTTGCGCCAACAAACTCACCACCAGCCCCAGCAGCAGCAGCAGCAGCAGCAGAAGCAGCAGCACCCATTGCACCAGGAGCAAAGGCCGCTGTTGTCACAGAAACGGCCATTCTCTCCTCTCCCTCACTCCTTTGCTCATAACCTCTGCTCGCACTCCCCTCTGCCCCACCCCCCACACTCCCTCCCACACTCCCTCTCCCTGGCATGCCTCGAACCTCTCCTCGTCCTCCTCTCCCCACTCCCCGGCCCACTCCTCTCCCCTCACCTCTTCCTCCGCCCCGCCCCCCTCCTCTTGCCACTCCCCTACCTCCCCCCCCTCCTGCCTCCCCGCCTATTCCCCCTCCACTAACCGCCCCACACCCCCCCCACTCCAATCCCCCCATTCCTCCGCCTCCCCCTCCCCAGTGATCTGTGCAGCCATCCCAGGTCCTCCCTCCCCCAGCCC